AGTCCTACTGTGAATATTGGGATGCTCATGAGACCTTTCTGTCTTTATTCTTTCCAGGATATATATTCCTAGCAGTGAGATATATGGGTCAGAAAGTATGGACATTTTAGTAACTTTTTTTAAAGCACAGCACGGAGTTTTGCTTTCCAGAATGGTTGGATCGATTCACTGTTCCACCAACAGTATATCAGTGTGCATTTCTTTCTACAGCCTCCTCCCTCCTCTTGCCTGTTTCTGTCTGTTGTTATATTTGCCAATTGCAAAACCTCACAGTTGTTTTGACTTGTATTTCTCTTATTAGTGAATTGAAGCAGTCTTTTGTATGGTTGTCAGTACTCTGTGTCTCTTTTGAGAATTGTTGGTTCCTTATCCATTGGGGAATGGCTCTTGGTTTTAAGATTTCTTTAAGTCCTTCCTCTGAGATTATTGTCATTCTGATTTGGCTACTTTATCCACACCTCCTGGTTTAATCAGTCATAAGATGGTGACTAACTTCCTCAACCCATTATTATTTGGACCTGGAATTGAAAATTAGAGAGAGGAGCATTATGTATGCTCCCTGTTGCCTTAATGGTTTGTGATTTATGAGTCTCATCATTGCTCCAACTCTCCTAGACAGATAGGCATCTGAATAGTTTTGCTTCAGGGGAAAAAAATCCATTACAGATTCAGGGTCATACAATTCTGGCAAATTCTTCTATATAAAGTTGTAAAGGGGCAGACTCTCTTTACTACTTTACTTTTCTGGTTTCATTAATTTGGAAAATAGCAGAATCATTTCTAGTAAAACTGACTGGAATATGAAAGCTGCATTTTAATTTTATTTTCTAGAAAGCTTAATTGAAAAGAGAGGGTGATGTCTAGGGTAAGTCTGCCAAAGAAAATAGCATACATTCCTCATCAATTCATTCATTCATCATTTGTTAATTAAACTTCTACCTCTGTGATGAACAGTGTGCCAGGCCCTGGGGCAGGGGCAAAGTTGAGATGAGATATAGTCTTTGTGTTCATTAGCTTAGTCTGGTTGGGAGAAGACACAGACTGAAATAACTGGGGTATACATTATGTGGTAGCTTCATTCAGAAATGGATTTTAGATGTCATTTAGCCCTTCATTTTACAAATAAGGAAACTGAGGCTCAGACATATGAAGTGGTTCTCCCAGTCACAGATGGTTAATGGCAATCTGTTGTAGTTTACTGAAAAAGGAGGTTCCATCACAAGGAAGAGATATGTGTACAGCAGCCATTATGTTAAGTGTTGAGAGAGTATCAGCTAATTTCTAATAAATGCTTTCAGTAAGAGGATGAGGAAGATTAAATACAGTAGTTCAAAAAAGCCTTCTTAGCATCTCCAGTCCCTAATTTAAGGAGATTGAATCATGTCGTATCAAATTGTCTGATTATTTTATGCCGCTGGATTTCAGTTCTTGCTTTTAGTGTATGAAATCCGATAATGCAAATATTATAGTCCTTGATCATAGGCCTGTGACAAACTGATGTAAAGAGAATTGACTTGGCTCTGATTTGCATTGATTGTTTCTAGCATACATCATTATTTAGAAGGATGAACAGAAAAGTACTTCCGTTTCTTAGGAGTTTATTCCCCTTCTCTCTAGTTCAGCTGGGATTTCAAATAGGAAGGTTTGATTTCTCACTTGGTCATTTCAGATGAACAAACACAGTAGTCCTTAGTCCACAAAAGCCATGTGCAAAATGCTGGTTTCCTTTGAAATTGAATTGGATTGAATGAGATTATGGGCAGGTAAACCTGCAAAGCTTTATTTTTATGAATTTCTCCCAGAGAGATTGATTTGCTACAAAGACCACTTACAATATACACCAAAGTGTAAAATATGGTACGAGACTTTTTTCATGTCAAAATTCTCTCTGTTGAATACCATTTTGCTCTTAGAAACTAGAATACCTTTTCATTTTGAAAACATTAAAAAATTAGAGATGCTATACAAGATGTAAAGACTAAGGATACTGTCATAAGTTTTGAAGGCATTGAGTGGAGCCTCCTGGGGCTTTGAGTGGTGGTGGTGGTGGGGGCAGCAGCCAAAGTGACTTCAGTGTCTGGAGCTGAGAATTCCTGGCTTGGGGCTGCCCCTGGGGCTGAGCTGAGGTGAATTTGCATAATGCAGATTTAGGTAAAGGGAGAACTCTCTGTATAAAGTTTGCAGAATCTTCATTTAGATGAATGAAGGAGTGAAGGAAAAAGCATTTATTAAGTGTTTGTGTATTCCAAGCGCTGAAGATACAAATAGAAAAGTTTAGAGAATCCCTGCTCTCAAGGAGCTCAGATTGTAATTGGGCATAAAAGAAAGTCCATCTCAGGGCAGTTAGGTGGCAGGCACAGTGGCTAGAGTGCTGGCCCTGGAGTCAGGAGGACCTGAGTTCAAATTTGGTCTCAGACCAGGCAGTTGACACTTACTAGCTGTGTGACCTTGGGCAAGTCACTTAATCCCAATTGCCTCTTCAAAAACAAATGAACAAACAGAAAAAAAGAAAATCCATCTTCAGGCAGACAGAAAGGCCTGGATGTTCTGAAGGTGCTGCAGTAGGACAGACAGCAAGGCTCAGAGACCTTTAGGGTAAGGTCTTAAGATGGAGGATGGTTGGTGAAACCAAGGGCTTCACCATCAGATGCTTAGAAGACCAATTGAAATTATTATTTTTAAATCAGAATGTTATCTTGTATACCAGATGTATTTCAAGCCACCATTCCTGGTCATTCTTGAGTTTGTAACTTTACCTCGGTCAGTAAATTAGACATCTTTGCTAACACCTCATAGAGTATCAAATATTGAAAACTGAATCTCACTTTCAGGTAATATTAGGGGTAAGAGAAGCTCTACCATTCTCTTCCAATGAAGTATGCTCATGTTAGGTAGGGGGTAGATCTGAGTAATACAGTTTTATTCTTGTTTACTGTAATGGAAGAGAATCTGAGTGTGATAAGTACTCTCAAGCCTAGAAGGATGACGGTTAAAAGGAGAAATGATTAAAAAACAAAAAAAACAAAAACAAAAACAGGAGGCAGCTAGGTAGTGCAGTGGCTAGAGCACTGGCCCTGGAGTCAGGAGGACCTGAGTTCAAATGCAGCCTCAGACACATAATACTCACTAGCTGTGTGACCCTGGGCAAGTCACTTAACCCCATTGCCTAGCAAAAAAGACCAAAGAAACAAAACCAAAACCAAAACAAACAATTCAACTAACATTTAGTGAGAGCCTACTCTATACCAAGCACTGTTCCAGTTTGTGGGGATATAAAGACAAAGGTAAGAATGAAATGGTCCTTTCTCTCAAGGAATTTGTGGTTTCATGGGGAGGAGATTTGACTTGCATGTTGATGCCTACTATGTGCTAGGCACTGTGCTAAGCATTTTTACAAATATCTCCTTTGATCCTCACAACAACCCTGGGAGATTAGGTGCTGTTATTATCATCCCCATTTTACAGGGGAGGAAACTGAAGCCAATAGAATTTCATTGACTTGCCCAGGGTCACCCTAGTCAGTGTTTCGGGCTGAATACCCTAGTCAGTGTTTTGGGCTGAATTTGAACTCAGGTCTTCCTGACTCCAGGCCCAAAGCTCTATCCACTATACCACAGTAGGGAAGGAAGGGGGCAGAGGAAAGATCAGTCAAGGGATTCTAGGAATATTTTGTAGCTGGAAGGATCTGGGAAGGCTGAATGGAGGAGGTGGCCCCTGCTACAGATTACAAATCTGTATGGAAACTGATGGCTTCTTGCTGTCCTAACCCTTTGATTCTGCTATCTTACCACCAACCTAGACCCAGGAGCAGACTTCCTGTAGAAGACTTTCCTGGCTGCCCGTGGATTGGCTGTGTTCAACCCTCTGGATTTCTCGTTGTCCACGCCCAGAATAAGGAGGAAGGAACACCCGTCATTCTCTGTCTCTCTGACTTGAACCCTTTGTCCCTGATACTCTGACATCTTTCTTGGGCTTGCACAGCTGTAAAAAATAGACTCTTTTCATCCACCACTTGTGATTGCACCCAGGTGTTCAAAATGGGATCTTTCTTGCTAGTCTCCCAGAAAAGGCTTTCAGTGGGAGGATGGCAGTAAAACAGCTAAAGCCTGTTTTCACGCAAGAGTGTTGCTGTGAAGGGCACCAAGAGTAGCTACCTGACTTTCAGACGCAGCAGGATTTGAACCTGTCCAAATAAGAGAATCCAGGGCTATAATTGCGGTGATTAAAAGCAGCTTCTGACTCCAGCCTGAAGGCAAACTCATTTGGTTCAGTGCACCCTTTGGGGAATTGGATATTGAATGATGAAAGATGCCTTTCCCCAAGACCTGGAAACCAGTGAATTATCGTGGAAACTCTAAATTGAATATGAGCTTTCCTTTTATCTTGCTAAAATTTAATTTCTGGGGGACCCCAGTAGGAGGAACTCTAAGAGCATGGTAACCAGCTGTTTATTTGCTTGACTTTGGATGTAGCAAGGATAAGATTTGAATATGGTTAACTACCCCTATGGCACCTAAAAGAAGTCAGTGCCTTTTGAAATCACTATGCTGGTATCTAGCCTGTCTGGTGGCATCAGGGCAGGATTTTGGCTTACAGGAGGAGACTTTTATAATTTCTCTAAATGTATATACACTTGGCTCATTTAGTCAGGGTCCTAAGGGTTCCACACTCTATGACCTCTGTGTGTGTGTGTGTGTGTGTGTGTGTGTGTGGTTTTTATTTGTTTGTTTGTTTTAGTATGTATTGAGTAACAATTAGAGCTGCCTTTTCCTGAATTAACTGCAAGGTAAAGGGATTTGAGATTCATGTTGCAAATATAAGGAGATAATTAAAAATTCACCTTTCTAGGATCTGGTAATTATTAGCTAGAAGGATTACAGACTCTTCACCTGGGGGATGACAAAGGCACAATGAAAAATAATTAATCTCGTCTATTTTGGCTGGACTGGTTCATTTCAGCTTGTTTTTAAAATCAAACAATTTCTTATGTTTTTCAACAGGCAACTGCAATGTCTGTAGATTGTCTTGGGCAGCATGCAGTGCTTTCTGGGTAAGTGAGCTCCAAAGTTCTCCTGTGGTGTGATTTCTGATCAAGTAAAGGCTACCTCATGTTCCGAGCAAGGACCAAAGCTCTGAATTCATGGGGGTCATAGAGCAAAGCCTCTGGGGCTGTCCAGCTTGCTAGTTTGGTAGAAGAAGAAACAAAGGGGTTATGTGACTGGCCCAAAGTCATAGGAGACAAGCTTCAGAGGCAGGCCTTCTGACTCCAGATCAGATCCTTTTGCCGCTTTCCTGTGGGGCCTCCCTACTTCCTAATTCTCATGATCCTCAGAACTCTCAGAGATTTGTCTTGTCTATCCTGTGCCCACCCAAGCACCATATAAGAATAATATGAAACTGTATTTTAACTTAAGTCTTGAAACTGCAAAGTTTAAACATATTCTGTATCCGATTTTTATTAGGGGTCACATTAGCAATTTGCAACAAGCCCTAAGTTTGAATTACCTTAGGCAGACATATTGTGCTAGCCACTTTTGCATTCTTCATACTTCCCCCCCATAGAAGAGCATGGGGTCAGTGAGGAGTCCTTGCTGGCCAGTATCCCTTAACTGACTTTTCTCTGTGACTCCCCATTTACTTTTATCAGAGGTTTTACTCTAGACCTTCTCATTTCACTTTTACTTCCCTAACTCTGCTCTTCAGTCTTCAGTTTCCTTTGCCTAATTCCTTTTTTTTTTTATTTAGGCAATGTGGTTAAGTGACTTGCCCAGGGTCACACAGCTAGTAAGTGTTATGTGTCTGAGATCACATTTGAACTCAGGTCCTCCTGAATCCAGGGCCTGTGCTCTATCCACTGCGCCACCTAGCTGTTCCACATTATTTCTTTTTCAAAGGGAAAAACATCACCTTGCCTACTTGACTTCTCTGCCTGCCCACTCTGTCCACTTGGGGAGAGTGTCCAAAGTCAGAGCTCTTTCCTAGAGTTTCTATAAAGCCTCTGATCCTTCCTCATTCTCCGAGAGTGTCCAGCATCTTCTGCTCTTTGGGATTTTGCTTGTTGATGTCTAGAGCTGGTACTTTTCCTCCTCTAGTCATAGAGTCTGATTCTTTAGTCTGATAACTGGCTTCTCTTTTCTCTTTATTCTGCTTCCTTTAAGCAGGAGCTATTAGCTTTTAAACTTTTCATTGGCAAACCTACTTATCTTTATGGATATCTTGTGGTTCAGGGTTTTCTTTAGCAAAGAGACTGACTTCTACAGAACATGTTTGTGCATGGAGCAGAGAGCGTGTATGCATGTAACTAACACACTGAAAGTGAAATAGTGGGGGGAACAGAGTTGAAAGACTTGCTTATTTCTGTTCCTTGCAGTTTCAAACCTTTGTCAAGTACCTGCTCTGTGTAGCTAGGTGCTAGAGATACAGAGACAAAAAGGAAATGGTCCCTGGCCTTGGACACTGGCATTCTTCTCTGTGTGTGTGTGTGTGTGTGTGTGTGTGTGTGTGTGTGTGTGTAGGTATAGGTCATACACACAGATAAAGAAAGCAGAATCTTTCAGAGGTAGAGAGCATTAACAATTTAGCGGGGAGGGGAATCAAGAAAGCCCTTCTTTGGGAGAGTGGTCCCTGAGCTGGGTGTTGATCTTAGGGATTCAAGAGGTATAGGTGAGGAAGGAGTCCATAGCGCCTATGAGGGACAGCTTTGATAAAGGGATGGAGGCAAGAAATAGAATGACTCTTTATTTCAACCCTTTGTGAACTGGACAATGTCCTGCATATCACTGGCACTCAACGTCATAGTTTAATTTTGAGTACGGTTTATATTGCCTCTTTCCTCACAATAATCCTTTAACTTGCTTGCTAAAAGATTAAATTTAATGGCTAGAAATAGTCTGTTTGCAAGGGAATTTGGAGTTCGGTTCCAGGATGTGTGGCTGTCTGTTAAATAGTGTCATGTGAGTTTGTTAGCTGCTGTTGGGGTGCGCTTGTCATTTGCCCATAGTGGGCTGCCTTACAGAGTGGGTGGATGTCACAGAGCGTGAGTCACACCCAGCCTCACTGCTGCCTCCATGCTGGGAGGGCTGCCTTTTAAAATGACGCTGTGAAATTGTACCTGGCTTCTGTTGTATTCTTATTGTTGCTCTTTTAAAATTCGTTGTCCTCTCGGAGGTCTAAAGAATTGGTCTGTTTGGGGGGAGCTTTGAGCCCCAGTTGCCACATAGGTCTGGTTTAAAAGCAGGCCCTCCCTCGTGGTACTAAACCCTTGCATATATGTGGTACCCTTCCCATTCCAGCCGCCGATTCCTGTACATGGTGAATCTGGATGCCCCCTCTGAAGGTCACCGCAAGATCTCCCGTCAGAGCAAATGGGATATTGGGGCCGTGCAGTGGAATCCACATGACAGCTACGCACACTATTTTGCAGCTTCGGTGAGTGCACTTTGGCAGCAGTACAAGTTGGTAAATATGAAATGGCAGGGTTTGTGTTCTGAGGGGAGAATAAGACCATCAGTTTTCCAAGCAGAAAATCAGTCAATAGGTAATTCATTTGGAGGAAATCAAGTTTCCCTCTTAGAAGGGTAAGAGAGGCAAATCACTTTGAAAAAAAAATTTTTTTTTTAAACCCAACCTGATCAGAGTAGTGTCATTGGTGTCACATTTTGTATCTGGCTTCGAATAGTCATATCTTTAATTCTAAATTTCTTAAAGGAGAATAAGCGTTACTCTTTGCATTTGTGTGCCTATTATGCGTGCGGTATGCACTTTTGTCCATTTGTAGTTAGATGGCTGGCTAATAGAAATGTTCTTAAGATCTCTAATACTTGCCCACTGCTCAGTGCTGTTGAGATTGCAAACTTTTATCCATTCATTCATTCATCTGTTTACTTACTTGTATTCATTTTGAACTTAAATACAAAATGAGAAAAAAAGAACAGTTCTATGTACACCATGGAACATAAAGAGAGGAGGATTCAGTATAAAACCCTGAATTTCCATTTCAGACTGCTTTAAAAAAACCAAAACTATGTAACAAATACTACGTTTTGTTTTCAGAGCTACCCAGCTTTTCTGTGCTTCCTTCTAAGTTTTCTTTTGTTCTTTGCTGTGCACTTTTTATTTTTTTTCTCTCTTCCTACCCATTCCGACTTAGAGAAGGTTACAATTAAACACAGATATGTAAATATATATATACACACATGTATTAATATAAACATATGTATGTAAAACCATACTATGCATGCTTCTGTTTATGAGCTCTTTCTCTGGAGGTGGCCAATGTCTTCCTTCATAGGTCCAAGTCTTTGCATGTTTTTCTAAAATCAACCAGCTCATCATGTCTTATAGTGCGGTTGTATTCCATCACAGTCACATACCACAGCTTCTTTAGCCATTTCCCAATTGAAGGCCACCCATCATTTTAAGCAATGTGCTTGTTGTAAGATGATATCTCAAAGTTGTTTTAATTTGCATTTCTCTCATCAATAATGATTTAGAGCATGTTTTACATGACTATATATTTTTAATTTCTTTATCAAAAAACTGCCGGTTCATATTCTTTAGCCATTTATCAACTGGGGAGAGATTGGGAAAATTTATAATAAATCTTCATTGCTCTTAAAGAATTGTAGATGATTCCATCCTTCTGTTGAGGGAAGAAAGTACGTGAATAGGTGTTAAAGATGTCTTTACAGGAAAAGGAAGTGATTCCTAAGGGTGAGAATAATTTCCTTTCTTCTACTTATCTATCCAGAGAATCTCTGCCCACCCATGGCACGCACTGTGTGGCCTTGGGTAAGTCACTTTACATTCCCAGGCCTATAGTTTCCTTTTGTGTAAAGTCCTTTGCCATTGGGTGAAATTAACCAGGGAACAAAACCATTCTGCGGTGCTGCCTGGGACCGAGGGTTTGATGTTGACAGTCAGTGAAGACACAGATAGCAAGTGAGAAGAGAAAGAAGAGCAATTCTGTTTAGCCACAGAAGAAACAAAGAGCTTCTCTTCCAAGCCACTCCTCAGAAGGACATTGGGTGCCTAAAGTTCAGTGTCCTCTCCCAAGAGGAGGGAAGAATCAGCTCATCACCTTTCTTCTTTACACCTTTGCCCAGCTTCCTGTCACATTGGGAAGAGTACTTTCTTGTCATCTTTTGTCTTTTAGTCCTTTAGTTCCCCACTCTGTCTTTACCCAGGTCATTTGTACCAACCTCTTCTTATTGGATTTCAGTTTATTGTCATTGTGTTTGTGGCACTGAAGATGCTAGCTCCTGGGAGTAGCTGACGCATGCCTTACCTCAGGACTGAGCACCTACCTTGGTTTTAGTTTAGTTTTGTTTTTTTTTTTAAATAATATTTTATTTTTTTCCCCAGTTACCTGTAAAAACAATTTTTAGCATTTTTTTTAAGTTCCAAATTCTATCCTGCCCTCCTTCCTCTGCCCCCTCCCTGAGACTGTAAGCAATCTGACATGAGTTATGCATGGAGCACTTTCCTTGTAATTCCTGTTCCGTTGTAAGCTGTTTTGGTAGGTAGAGTGCATTAGGTTCCTCCTTTTTTTCCCAGAGAGCCCTGAGGCTTCAGAATGACTTTGGCCTCTGTCTTCAGGCTGCATTCAGATGAGCTCCACACAGTAATCAGCTCACAAGTTGGGTAATAGCCCATCACTCTCCAGCCTTGTTTTGTGGAGAAATCTGAAGAGGTTTTAGAGCCCCAGCTGCTGCTGCTGCTTTTTAAAACAGTCACGGTTCTCTTTGGTGTTTGTCTTCTGCAGTTGTAGTGTCTCTTAGTCCAATATTTCTTTGCCTCTGTCCTTGATAGATACTGAGATGGAATATTTTGGCAAACTTCAAGAGTCCTGCTTATTCCTTCTGCCTGGGAATGCCCTATAGGTTGTTCCCCTTCTCCACCCTGTTCCTCTTCCATTTGAAAAACAGTGATGGGCAGCACAGGAGTGAGGAAGAGTGAGTTGATCAACAGTACTTTGTACAGTGGCATATAACAGCACAGATGAGGGTCATGACCTTTGTGGGGTAGGCTTGAGGGAAGGAGAAACTAGTGAAGGGCTCAGCTGCCAGCGTTGTGTAGCTTTGCAGGGAAATGACTTTAAAAGGTCAGTGACGCCTTCTTTCCTGGTTTGGAACCTGAAGCGCTGTGTCCTTGATTGCCTCAGTGGGTCTCTGATCTCATCTAGACGAGTAATCTCTGGGCATGATTTTCTTACCTTGTGTGACTGTCCATGCCCTCTATAGGAGGTACTGGTGGGACTTGTAGGCTGTCTAGATATCTATAGTCCCTCACTACATAAAACTGGTGAGAAAATTTGTTCTGGGTATTATTAGCTCCACCCACATTGGATTTTTTTTTCTTTCTTGCAAGCTTAGACTGTGTGAGAGGTTTTAAGCTTTCCTGGACAGTTTTCTGCTTAGCTTTCTCTTTTCATTTATCGTGCATTAGAGCTTTACTAAGCCTGGTGGTGCACTGATTTGAACATTTTGACGTGCCCTACCTTATTTCTTCTGTTTGATTTCAGAGCAACCAGCGGGTCGATCTTTACAAGTGGAAAGATGGCAGTGGGGAAGTTGGCACAGCATTGCAGGGGCATACCAGGGTGATCAGGTAGGTAGCAGGAGCTCTATAGCTTATTGGGCTGTGATTTGTCATTTTGATTCCACATTAGACATAGAACATACTCTCTCTGCTGGAGCTTTCTGTGAAGTGATCCCAAGAGCTCAAAGTACCATCACCCTATTTGTCACAGTTCTCTGGGGAACTGAACTGAGAGATTGCCATCCTCCCATGGTTCCAGCCTGAGCATCTGTTTAGTGTTAGCCTTGGATGGCTGATAGACCATTAGTATTCCCCAAGGTGAGGGCATTCTTATGGAAAATCAGCCCGTGCTTGGGAACCATCATCAGAGGGACTGTTAAAACAAATCCCTGAAGAGGCTTAGATAGGTACAGCTTCTTTTAGAGTAAAAGATGAAAGCCATGTCTTGCTATGAGGGTGGGAAGAAGTTGAATGAAATCTCTCTATCCAGCAACATACTGAAAGGATTCAGAAGCATGACACTGTTCTTTTACTTGTGTAAGTGTCTAAGAAATTGACTGTGCTCTCTGGAAGAAGATCCATTAAGCACATGTAAACATTCTCTAGTGTGTTACATCCCAACTTGGTTCCAGATTATTCTCTGCACTTTGCTATCAGGGCTACTGTCTGTGCTCCTGGGTTGGGATGGAGACAGCCAGTTTGGGAAGCGTCTATCAGGGAATGTGTGATGTGCTGAAGCTAGCCTGGAGTGTTCTAGGTAAGGTTAGACTTCCATGGAGGAGACTTTGGCATTTTTCCAGTGCCCTGTGGAGTAGCTATTTGGGTGTTGTGGAAGGTGATGGAGAGTAGTAGAAGTCAGATACTCTTTGAAGATTACTTGTCATTCTGGTAATTTTCTTTTTTGAGAAGGAATTCTTACCCCTGGGTTTTGTAGACCTCTTGGGGATAGATTTCATGGGATTAGTGAATGTAGATGGGAAGAGAATTACCTCTTTTTTTTACTTACCTTTAATATTTAACTGTTTTTTAAAAAAAAAATCTGAATGTAGGCAACAAACATTCTTCTGAGAAGGTGACATAGGCTTCCGCAGATTGCCACAGGAATCTTTGATGCAAAGGAAAGCTTAAGAAGCTTGGTTTCCAGGTTTTCCTTCTTCAGGACACTGGAGCCATTGCAGAGGCAGTAGTACTGGTAGATCAAGCTGGACCAGGGAGCTTGTGAGAGACAGAGGTGGGGAAGGAAGCATCGTGCAGGGAGGTGTTACTTTTGTATTATTTTATCCATGTAAGCGAGTAAAACGTGCTGGATTGGACCAGCTGATTTTTAAGGGCATTTCCAAGTATTTGTGTGCCCTGGCTAAAGGTTAAAAATTGTGCTGCTTCTTCCCCAGGCCCACACTCTGGCATTTCATTGAATAAAAGAATCTGAGTATTGGAAGGGAGTTCAGAGGGCATTGAGTCTCCCTCATACCTGATAAATGGTCATCCAGTTTTTACTTGGAGACCTCCAGTGAGGAGGAGTTCACTAACTCCTAAGGTTATACCTCAGTTTCCCCTTTTGTAGCTTTTACCCTCTTGGGCCCAGTAGAACAAATTAATTCCTCTTACATGTAACACCCCTTTAAATACTTTGAAGACAACTACCACATCCCTCAAGTCTTTTCTTCTCCAAGCTAATGATCCTTAGTTCCTTCAGCTGATCCAAATTAGAAGCCCTTCTCTGTCCTACTTGTTTTCCTCTGGATCCTTTCCGGTTTATTGATGTCCTTCCTGAGATGTGGCTCTGATTTAAAAAATTATTGTCCAGTAGAAGCTTCAGTTTTTCACCTGTAACGCATGTTGGAATTTTCTAGCATTAAAAACATGTACATTTTTAGAAAGGAATATTCAGAAATATCCCTTGTGCATCTGCTCACCCTGCCTCACATGTCTTGTAGCCTAAACAGCTGCCTGCCTTTCCTGTCCCTCGTCTTGGTTATATTTAAGCTTTCTTCCAACTCTAAGTACTAAGAATTGATAAACTTCTCCTCCTTCTGAGTGTGCCTGGGTTTTACTCAAAGCAGCCATAGTTGAGATGGGTTTAGAAAAGTGACTACCCAGAAAGTACTTGGGCAAGAGAAAACTAGGGGTGGTCAAAATTCTCTCCTCTCCTCCCTCCCTTTTTTTTTTTTCTTAATGGCAGACTGATGGAATAGCTGGAAACCACAGGGAGCAGATCTTCAAGTTTGAGGCATCTTTGGAGTCTAGTTCTTTCCCAAGGAAACTTGGAGACTCAGAATTTGCGTGTCAGAGTTCAAACTACAGAAATATGGTGGCTTTTTGGAACCTCATAGAATCTAGCTCTGACTGATCCTGCCACTCCTTGTGCTGTTTGTCTCTTACCTTCCTAGTGACTTGGATTGGGCTGTATTCGAGCCAGACTTGCTGGTTACCAGTTCTGTGGACACCTACATCTACATTTGGGATATCAAGTAAGAACAAGTAGGAGGCATTCTTTTATTATGGGACTATTGGGTTAGGGAGACTTTGAGAGAACATGAAAGTTGTTTGTTAATTTTTATTGATGGCCTTTTGTCATTATGTCAGTCATTTCTGAGTGTGGGGAAGTTTCTTCCATATTGAATCCTTCCTTGAAAGGCCTCCTCCCCCCCCCAAAAAAAAACCAACCCAAAACACTAGGTACAGTGATAGAATCTGACAGCATCCAATCATTCGAGTTTGGCTTCCTTCTAGTAATTATTTTCATTTATATCATTGTAGTTATTGTGGTTAAATTTTTTTTGTTTTGTTTGCTTATTTCACTGGATCAGTTCTTACAGATCTCAGGTTTCTCTGATTTTCTCATATTAGTCACTTCTGATTGCAAATAATATTCTATTTACTCATATGCCACAGTGTTTTCAGCTGTACTCCAGATAGTGGGCATTCCTTTTATTTCCAGGTCTTTGTACCACCACGTGCTGCTAGAAAATTTTTGTGGACATCAGATCTTTGTTTCTGCCTTTGCTTTGTTTGGGGATATATTCTTAGCCGTGGAATTGTTCGGTATGGACAGTTTAAGAAGTTGTCTTAAGTGATTCCAACTTGATATCCAGAATGGCTGGACCAACACACGGCTCCACCATCAGTCTGGTAGTGTCCCTGTCTTCCCACAGCCTCTCAAATACGACTGTGGGACAAGAAATTTTGAGGGATAGACCTAGTCACCATTATACCTTTAAATTAGCCATACATAAGATTACACATCATGGCTATATGCATGGTTCTAGCTCAGGATAAATGGTATTGTAACCTCTTCTCCTTAGCAGGAGAGGATGTGAAATTTGTTGTCCTCCTGCAGAGCCTAGTGACACGAGCAGATCCTTGCTCTCCAGCTATCCTGGACCGTGGGAAAAAGGAAGTAGTTGGGAGAGAGGATCTTGTTGTCTTTTATATTTAGGATAAGGGGGAGGGGCCTTGGCCCCGGCAGGTAAATCCTGGGGCCTAGTGGGCAATGGGCAGGGCCTGTGCCTGTCTTTCTTGCTTGTTGTTGCTCCTTATATAAGTAAGGCACTTGAGGTATGCTTTGGAAGAGGATGGTCACGATAGAATGGGGAAACCAGGGAATTAATTAAGAAAGAGGGAAGAGAAAGAATGCAGAGAAACAAGAATTTGAGGAGCCAGATTTTGGAGAATATTGTATATGTATAAAATAGAATATAAAAGTCCTTTATTGTAAAATGTGAGATTAGTTTTACTTTCTCCAGACACAAAGAGTGTGTGTGTGTGTGTGTGTGTGTGTGTGTGTGTGTGTGTGTGTGTCTGTATTTGTGTTGTCTTTGGGGAAACATCTTTGAGCCTTAGAAAACTGCCTCATTCTTAACAGTGTTGTTTGGTGTAGAAATCATCCCATACGTTTTGGCCCTAGAGGTCAGCTGTAAGACTTCCTTTCTCCCTGTGAGTTCGCTAGGTTCACTTTCATGCCCAGAAATAGCTTTTTATCCTCGGCTGAAGAGTTGTTTGGAAGCTTCATGCAGGGACACGCTTCATTGGCAGTCATCTCATTGCCACTGTGAGGAATGACACCATAGAAGGACTGTTTTGGCTTCTTCTTCCTGTACATCAGGGTCACCCAGACTCTGCTGAATCATGAGACTTTTCCTTCTTGGACACGGCTGACTGTTTTGAAATTCAGACCTAGAAAAAAATTGTAGCTGACTGAGAAATGAGAAAGCTCAGTAACTCGTTTAATATGGAGGAAAAGGAGTCCTTTTTGCAGCAAAATCACTTTTTCCTCTTGAGCCCAGCAAATTATGTCTAATTGATCCAAAGTTCCCATTGGGTAGAAAGTGAACAGCAGCTGTGAAAGGCCCCCAGACTACTGGAAATAGGTTTCAAATGGCAAAGGGATTGGTGTATGATTTGGGCCTTCTGTGTTTCAGAGATACAAGGAAACCTACTGTTGCACTGTCTGCTGTAGGTGAGTACTTAACTCCTGTTGTTTGATGTCCATCCTTTATCCTGCTCTTCTTCCATTTCACTCCTTCTGTTCTCTCAATACTGGATCCTTCTGCACCACTCCACTGCCTAGATGAGGTGGTGATGGCACAAGGCTTGGCCTAAACTGCTGTCAAGAGTTTCAGGGTACGAGGACTAAGGGGCTTTCAGGGGATATGTCAGGAAGGACTTCCTGAGACAGAAAAATCCCATTTTGAAACTATCTGTAATTGACAGTGTCTCACTTTCATGCAGGGATGTTTGAGTGGAGTACTCCACTGTAGTACTGAATGGAAGAGCCCTATTTTGTTCAGCATATCCTCCCCCCACATGTATGTCTCTGTCTCAGGGAAAATGCTCTTTCTTTGGATTCTGAGATATTTCAGCTCCTTTCTCTAAAGGGGGCAGAAATTCATAGTTACACTTGGGGATAGTGGGTGTCTATGGATGACACTTTAGAGGTTAACTTCTTGAAGAACAGCATCTATGCCATTTTTCATTTTTGTTTCCCTAGTACCTAGCAGAATCCCTTGAGAGAAGCAGGCCTTTCGTGTCTTTATAACTGAATTTCATGGGTGTGGGGGCTTCCTCTGTTATACATGTGCCAGCCCCTCTTTGCCTTAGTAGAGTTTCTTCACATGGGAAGAGCATCACGTGGTGACTGACCTTCTGATATACGCCTTTCCAACCTTAGCTGAGCAGCCATCAGACAGGGATGTGTGAACTGTCACCAGGTCTTTTGTTGAGGATTTTCTTTTGGTGTAGGGACTGACAATCTGCACATTGCTGGCAGAGTCCTTAAGAACCCAGGTTTACCTCCTTGTGGTGTGGAGCTATGATGTTAGTAACCCAATAACAAGTGACATATGGCACCTGGGACACAAGCCATCTGTGCCTTCTCTCTGTTTCTTAATTCCCTTATGCCCCTGTTTTGCACATCTGGGTCATCTCTGAGGTGATCCTTAATACTAGTCACCTTTCTCCTCATTGTCAAAAAGCATTTATTAAGCATTGAACTGGATTCAGTGATAGGCTAGTTAATTACATTAACCTGGACCTTGCCCCCTAGGAGCTACATTCTAAGACAAATACCAACTTCAGCCTGACGGCTAGATGTATTAACTTAAGTGGACATTACGGTACTTCTCTGACTTCTTATCCAAGTCAGATTCTGAATCTAAGATCATGTGATATTGGTGAAACCCTAAAAGCATTTTTCTTTTCCTCACTCTCATTTTTATAATGGTTTTCTGAATTGTGGTTAGCTATACCCTCCCACCCTTTTAATTTAAATATCTCAAGTGACCACTGTTGTTACTACCTGAAGTACAGTGAGCTTCTTTATTGGGGCACAGAGCTCTTCTGGGAGAACTGGATATGATGTAAGCTTCTTGAGGGCTTGGACTACAGTCAGCTCTGCTATAACACAAAATAGCCATTCTCCCAAAGCTCCATGCTATGAAAAATTGTATAATTGCCACAGAGATTATGGGGAGAAAGGAAGTGGGGCATAACACTCAAAACTTCATCAGTGACACATTAAAGAAACTGTCTTTACGGCATGGTAACATTACCATGATACTTCTGTTAACACAGTTTAATGTTTTTGTTTTTAATTTTTTTATTCTGAACTTAAAAACACCAAAAAATCATGAGCATTTCATATACCAAATGTAGTACAAAAAGATTTTATGTGAAACCATGAATCTCCATTTCATACTGCTTCCTTTTCTTAAAATAAAAAGTATATAACAAAGTTTATCCATTACTATCAAAACCACCTTGCTTGTCTGTATTTCCTTCTGAACTACTTTCTGCACTCCTTTGTGCACTTTTAAAAATGTTTCCTCTTTTTTTCATCACTATCAGTACCTTCCCTTCCCCCCCCTCAATTAAAAACAGAGGAAAAAAACCCACAAGACCTTATAACAAATGAGCACAGGCAAAACACACAAGTCCACATAGTGGCTTGATCCTTTCCTTGAGTCCATCCCCTCTCTGTTAGGAGGTGGGGAAATGTGTTCCATCTTAAGTCCTCTGGAGAAATGGTTGGTCATTGCTTCAGTCAGTGTTCTCAGCTCTTGCAAAGTTGTTTGGTTTTTTTTTTTACAATGTTATATAAGGCAGCTAGATGGTAAGATGGATAAAGAATGGAAATTGGAGTCAGACCTGAGGTCAGATCTGGCCTCAGGCACTTGCTAGCTGTGTGACCCTAGGCAAGTCACTTCACCTTGCTTAGCCTTGGTTTCCTCATCTATATAATAAGGATAATAACAGTACCTATCTTCCCTGGTTGTTGTAAGGATCAAATTAATTAACATGTAAAGTGCTTTGCAAAGTGCTACATAAATGCTAGCTGTATTAATTATTATTATTATTATTAATCATCTGAAGCCCTTTCATCAACCCCTTTCTCTGTGTTTGTATACTCTTTATGCTCTTCCCATGCATTCTTTTTTCCCCTCTCTTAAAATTCTTAACAGAACCAGTCTACTCTTAGGTCCTCTGTTTTTCTTAATTAACTCCCTGAAGGACCTTGGAAGATATTAATTTTTTATTTTATTTATTTATTTTTCAGTTTTTTAGGCAATTGGGGTTAAGTGATTTGCCCAGGGTCACACAGCTAGTAAGTGTCAGGTGTTTGGTCTGAGACTGGACTTGAACTCAGGTCCCCCTGACTTCAGGGTTGGTGCTCTATCCACTGTGCCACTTAGCTGCCCCAGATATTCATTTTCTAAAAGGGCACTTATTTCTTCTTTCTCTGTTAGAATGGAGAGCCTCTTCCATCATACAGCCCCTTCTAAATACTCAAATAAATTTACCTTTTGATATTTTTCTTAAATTTTGTTTACATTTTTAAGTTCCTTCTCAGTACTAGTCCTTTCATTCAGAATGCTTGCAAGTCTCCTATTCCATTCAAGGTCCATTTTTTTCCCCTTTAGGAAACTTTGCAGAGTTAAGTTATTCTTGGTTGTAAGCCTGTATCTTTTCTCTTGTGAAACTTTGCAGAGTAAGAATTCTCTCTCTCTGTCTTTCTGCCTTCCTTCCTCTCTTTCTTTCTTTCTTTCTTTCTTTCTTTCTTTCTTTCTTTCTTTCTTTCTTTCTTTCTTTCTTTCTTTTCTTTCTTTCTCTTCCTTCCTTCCCTTTCTCTCTCTCTCTTTCTTTCTTTCTTTCTTTCTTTCTTTCTTTCTTTCTTTCTTTCTTTCTTTCTTTTTTCTTTCTTTCTCTTCCTTCCTTCCCTTTCTCTCTCTTTCTTTCTTTCTTTCTTTCTTTCTTTCTTTCTTTCTTTCTTTCTTTCTTTCTTTCTTTCTTTCTTTCTTTCTTTCTTTCTTTCTTTCTTTCTTTCTTTCTTTCTTTCTCTCTTTTTTCCCCCTGATTTATTTTTTCTCCATTTAACAGTTCTCTTGGGCAGCTGGTGCACTCTTTTTTTTCTGTTTTATTTATTTATTTTTAGTTTTCAGCATTCACTTTTATAAGATTTTAAGTTCTAAATTTTCCCCCATCTCCTCTCCCTAAGACAGCATGCAATCTGATATAGGCTATACATGTATAATCATATTAAACATATTTCCACATTAGTTATGTTGTGAAAGAAGAATCATAACAAAAGGGAAAAACCATGAGGAAGAAAAAACAAAACCAAAAAAAGGAAATAGTGTGCTTTGATCTGCATTCAGAGTACATAGTTCTTTCTCTGACTATGAATAGCATTTTCCATCATGAATCTTTTGGAATTGTCTTTTGGGAGTGGGGAGCCTGTTGGCTCGAGGCCACATATGGCCTTCTAGGTCCTCAAGTGAGGCCCTTTGAGTGAATCCAAAGTTCACAGAACAAATGCTTTTATTAAGGCCACAGGTTCCCCACCCCTGTTAAGATCATTATATTGCTGAGAAGAGCTTAGTCTATCAAAGTTGATTGTTATACAGTGTTGCTGTTACTATGTGAAATGTTCTCCTGGTTCTGCTCACTTCACTCAGCATCAGTTCATGCAAGTCCTGCCAGGTTTTTCTGAAGTCTGCCTGCTCATCATTTTTTTTTTAAAAAAATTATTTATTTTTAGTTTTCAATATTCATTTCCATAAGATTTTGAGTTTTAAATTTTCTCCCTCTCCCTTTCTTTCTCCCTCCCCAAGACAGCATGCAGTCTGTTATAGGCTCTACCTATAAATTTATATTAAGTGTATTTCCCATTAGTCATAATGTAAAGAAGAATTAAAACTGATAGGAGGAGCCAAGAAAATGAAGCAATAAAACAAAACAACAAAAGAAAAGGAGAGCAAATAGTAAGCTTCCATCTGCATTCAGAGTCCATAGTTCGTTCTCTGGATGTGAATCTGCTCATCATTTCTTATAGCACAGTAGTATTCCATCATAATCATATACCACAACTTGTTCAGCCATTCCCCAGTTGATGGGCATCCCCACCATTTCCAATTCTTTGCCACCATAGAAAGAGCTGCTATAAATATTCTTGTACATGTGGGTCCTTTTGCCTTTTTTATGATCTCTTTGGGATACAGACCTAGTAGGTGGTATTGCTAGATCAAAGGGTATGCACAATGTGGTTGCCCGTGGGGCATAGTTCCAAATTGTTTTCCAGAATGGTTGGATCAGGTCACAACTCCACCAGCAATGCATTAGTGTCCCGGTTTTCTTACATCTTCTCCAACATTTATCATTTGCATGTGGTGCACCATTGAGCATAGCATTCTTAGCCCCAACAATGAGAACCTCTCTTTGTACCTCAGCAGTTTTTCCTGGGTCTGAGTTTTCTCCATCACTTTGTACAGGTTCCCAAAGAGAATGATACTGCCCCTGGGATGGGGGGTGAGCTGAAATGATCCAGGGGGGCGGTGGTAGCCTTGGGTGCAATTGGGGGGCATTGAATAAAAATAAGGGAGTGATGGAAGCATAAGGAAAGAGGAGAGAATTTTGAAAAACCATTCATACCTGTTTCATCTGTTGTGTAACAGAGTTAAAGTCATAGTGATTACATTATTTTCCATATAAACCCATGAGATACAAGCTATAACTGATCAGTGGGCAAGTCTGTAGCAGGTCCTAAGAAGCCAGTGTTGGCAGGTGACCATGTTGCACATTGGCGGGAAGTCCAGCACGCATTGGCAGGGATGTGTGGGGGTAATGACTTGTTCATAACGCGCTATTGTACAGTTACACAACACAATATTGTGTCATCAAAATGTCAATGCAGGAAAAAACCCACAAATTTACAATAAATCGTTAAATTTAAGATGTCATTTAAAAAAGTATTGTATATTTTTTTGAAATGATGCAAATTTTTTTGAAAGCCGTGGAAGGGTTAAAGAAAGTAGATTTCCAGGGGGATGCTGAGTGATTTTTCTTTTGAAAAAGGAGGCGGTAGGCCAAGTCAGCTTGGGAACTTGTGCTCTAGAGTCTTAGTTTCTTGACCATGGGTGGGAAACAGCCTCAAGTAGGATGATCTTTGCTTTCTTTCTTTATTTCTTTGTCATGCTGACGGCAAGTCACACTGAGAAAGTCGTCATCTTGTAAGTCCTAAACTATCCTGTGATCGGATGAATCTCTTCTGCTTTGGTGTCTTTTTGAGTAGAGAAAAGAGCTACACTTTAAAAAGTTTCAGTTAATGTCTCAATCCTTGACATAGACCACGTTCTGCAGACCTAGGGATCAGGCCTTCTGTCATATTAAAGTCCTACATCTGCCTATGTTCTTATTGGAGCCTTGTGGCAGCCCTGTGAGGTGACTAAGGCAAGAATTACTGTCATTCTTCAGATGAGGAGACTGAGACTTGGCGAGCGTAAGGGACCTCTGTAGGCTTCTTTGTGCTGCTGTTCTTGCAGAGAAACAGAGTTGTGTAACATAAGGCCTTATCTTGTCTTTCATAGTCTGTACCTTTGAATGATCTCAATGGAGATGTACAGAAATGAAAACTCCGAGCCTAGAGGGTCAAAATTCAGTGTCTCTGGTCAGGAGGATGATCTTTAATTTTAAGTTCTCAATCATTGATCTGGCCTATGTTCTGTGGACTTTACTTTTTCTATCACTGCACCTGCAGTGATTTTCTTTAGGAATGAGCCACAGTAGAGGAAAAAGTATCCAAGCAGTGATGTGATTGGTGTGTACCAGTGGTGCGGCATCTGAGTTCTTATTTTGTATGTTACTTTGTCATTAGTTTTTGAATGGAGGACAAATTTCCTTCTGAGAGCTCTTCTGCCTTGGTTTTCCCAGTAGAGACTGGATTTCTCCTAATGCTTGAGTCTTCTGGGACCTTGAGCAGCTTTTTAATTGTCATCACTATATCCCTGTGTTGGCAGAGTGGAAAAAGGGAGCGGGACTGCCTGATGCTGGGGTTTTTTCCTCCTTTATCTGGCTCGAAATAATTCTAGTAATAATGCTTTGCCCTGGTGGCACACAATACCCTCTCCGCAGTAGGTACTTCATTGGTTGCTGAATGGGTAGAGAGTGGAACGCCTGGGGGATGCCTATGTAAGCCTGTGCTCCGGTCCCCAGTGCCAGGAGACTGGTTGGATTGGCTCTAGGAAGGGCCTGTTGTCCTTGGAGATGCCTGTAGGTCAGGTTGTGGGATGAGTCATTCCTAGCGAGCAGCACTGTGAGCCTGTAATAAAACCGTACTTCCCCACTGGTTCTACTGCCAGGTTACCTTTAGCTTTCTTTTTTCCTTGGGTGAGATTGTTTTCCCGGGTAAGTCCCTGTGATCCTTTTCCCATGACTTAACTCATTTTGGGCTTCATTTCATCTTTAAATGGTACATTTGGCACCTCCATAAGAGAACTTGAAACTGACAGGCTTTTTGTGGCTCTTCAGACTAATGCCATGAGCCAGCTCTGCTGGGGGACAGCAGCTTACTGAATGAGCTTCTTTTCCTTGCCCTCACCCCTGACTTTTCTATTCAGCGGGTGCCTCACAGGTGAAATGGAATAAGAAGAATGCCCACTGTCTCGCCACCAGTCATGATGGGGATGTTCGGATATGGGACAAACGGGTGAGTTACTTCTTCATGGTCATTCTTTAGCCATTGTTTTACTTGACTATAGATAATGCTTTAGGATTTACTAAATGCCTTATATGTATTATTTATGCCTCATTTTGAGGTGGGTACTGCAGGTGTTATCTCCATTTTGCAGATAAGAAAACTGAGGCAGCAGAAGGGTGAAGTAAATTACCCAATTAGTAAGTGTCAGAGGTAGATAAGAAAATGCTGTGAGCAGTTAATGAGTTGTTCAGTTGTTTTCAGTTATGTCTGACTCTTTGTGACCCCTTTTGGGGGTTTTCTTGGCAGAGATACTGGAGTGGTTTGCCATTTTCTTCTCCAGATCATTTTATAGTTGAGGAAACTGAGGCAGACAGTAAGCCCAGGGTCACACAGCTAGAAAGTTTGAACTCAGGTCTTCCCTACTCCAGGCCTGGCACTCTTATTCACCACGATGCCTAGCTGCCCCAGTTAACAAGTACTAGAGCCATATGCATTGTAGATAATTTCTACAATCAGCTCAGTGTGGAATGAAGTTGCTTTCCAGCCCAAATTAATGCTAAGCTAAAGTAGAGACATTGGACAGAGAAACAATGGCGCTCAGTTAAAAGTTAAAAATCTCCTTCTGCTCTGTTTGATCTTAATCTCTGTTACTTTTAAAAATAATACTTCATATTTATATGTTACATTGCCATTTGCAAAACTCATCTCATTTTGTCCTGCCAGCAGCCCTGGGGTGAGGTGGGTGAGGCAGGTGTGGGCCTCATTTATCAGATGAGGACGGAGATTCAGAGAAGTTAGATGAGGTATGGTGGGTCCCGCAGTATTCAGTAGTGTAGCCAGAACTCCACTCTGGGTCTTTTAAAAACTCCCAATTTGTAGTGATCATCTTTTATTTTTATAGAATCTTCATTTCCCAGGCTCTCTCCTTTTTCCCCACTCACCCAGCGAGTCTTCTCTTACAACAAAGAATGAAAAAGGGGAGAAGAGAAAAGCAGTTCAGAAAAGTAGCCAGTGCCTCCCCCAAGTCTGGTTGTCTCCCTAGCATGTCCAGTAGCTCCCCACATCTGCAAAGAATCAACAGGTATTTGCTAGGAATTTATTACTGTGTAGCAGGCTGTGCTGAGGACGGGGGAGGCAAGTACGAAGAAGGAAACGGGCCCCACTCCACAATGGTGGAGAAAAGTATAAATAAAAACATATGCAGCATAAATAGAAAGTGAATAAGTACAAATATATTAGCAGTTAGGGGAGCTCAGGAAAGGCTTTGTACAAAAGATGGGCTTGAAGGAAGGAAGAAAGGGGCCCTCTGAGGCATAGGTGTGGAGGGATGCACTCTAGGTGTGTGGGATGGCCAATGCAAAGGCATGGAGGTGGGAAAAATGGAGTGTTGTGCGTGAGAAACAGAGAAGACCAGATGAAGACCAGAGAACAGTGATGTCTGCTGAGTCTGGACAGATAGTCTGGGGCCACGTTGTGTAGGGCTTTAAAAGGTAAACTAAGGCGTTTGTATTTTATCCCATAGGCAATAGGGAGCCACTGAAGTTGGTTGACCAGGGGAGACACTGCTCAGATCTGCACTTAAGTAATATGATTTTGGCAGCCCCCCTGTATAGGGTAGACTAGAGTTGGGGGTGACTTGAGGCAGGGAGGCCCACTAGGAGGGTGTCACAGTAATCCAGGGGAAAGATAATAATGGCCCACACAAAGACTATTACAGCATGATTGGAGAAGATCAGGTGCAAGATATGTTTTGAAAGTAGAAATGACAAGATTTGACTCCTGATTGGATATGTGGAGTGAGGAGGAGAAGGACAGCTGGCTGGCACAGCGGATAGAGCACAGGGCCTGGAGTCACCTTATTGAGTTCAAATTTGGCTGCAGACACTTCCTAGCTATGTGACCCTGGGCAAGTCATTTAACCCTATTTGCCTCAGTTTCCTTATCTGTAAAATGAGCTGGAGAAGGAAATGGCAAACCACACCAGTATCTTTGCCAAGAAAACCCCAAATGGGGTCTCGAAGAGTAGCACATGATTGAAATGACTGAACAGCAGTAACATGAGGATGGGTGAGGAGTCCAGGATAACGCTGAGATGATGAACCTGGGAGACCAGAAGAAGGGTGGTGCCTTTGATAGAGATAGAGAAGTTTGGAAGAGAGGAGGAACTAGAGGGAAAGATAGTGAGTTTTGTTTTAAACATGTTGAATTTAAGGTATCTGATATCCAGTTTGAAATGTCCCCAGGGTGAGTGAAAACCAGGGACTCAGATACCCAGATCTGGGAATCATCTACATAGAAATGATAGCTAAATTTCTGAGATCAGTGAGGTTACTGAGAGAGCAAAAGGCCTAGAAGCTTGGGGACCCCTCCCCCCTCGGGAGGCGTGCTGTGGATGGTATCATACCAGTGGAGGAGACTGAGAAAGAGGCTGGGTCAGCCTCCCCTGTAGCAGATAGGTTGAGAAGGCTTATAGCTCCATCTTTGGACTGAATTCAGTGTTCTTTTAACTAGATCGCACAGTTTAGTCCATGTGGGATACCAAATTCTGTCTCTGAACTGCGATCATTTACTCTCAGCAGTACCTGCTTCCTGCAGGCTGCCTTCTCATCACCGCTCTACCTCTGTTACACCGAAGGGCCAAAGCAGGTGGTTCCCAGGACTCACTCAGCACAAGAAGGTGGGTGGGTGGTATGCCCGGGCAGACAGCACATGGATGGAGCTTGAATTTTCCCTGGAGTCTAAATATCCCATCTGCCTAAAAATAGCCTGTGGATCACATGCTTTCACTGCGGCAGCCCCTGAAACTGTTAGGCGTGGTGGAAACAGCAGGTCCCAGGCTGCTGAACTGGGACGTCTCCTGAAAGTTTGATATGATTGCCTCCGTGTGTGGAAGATCTCCACAGCTCACAGGCAAACAGACTGTGGGAAGACCTGGACTTTAATGATAGCTCAGTGTGAGGACGAGTCATGTTTCATTTCTGTGAAGACTAAAGATTACTGTTGCTGGGGTAGCGTGGGGGTGGGAGAACAGATAGGGATGGATGATGGTAAATTTGCTGAGCAGAAAGGGGAATGAATGAGCATTAATGCAGGCTCCGTTTTCTCCCTGCCAGGAGTCCTGGCAAGCCTTGGAGACAGGAAAAAGAGGTTTGGCAGAAGGCGAGGTGGGAGAGAATAGGCAGGAACCATCTTGGAGACCTCAGGAAATGGCGAGCTTCTGCAGAGGGAGGGACTCCTACCTGCTCTAGGGACTTTACTGCTTGCCTTTTCTGCAAAATGGAGTTAGAAGACCTTCTCCCTTTCAGTCTTCTGGGACCCATGATGATTTTGAATGTGAATGGTATCATTATAGTGTTGCAAGTGGTTTGAAAGAAAGGTGAACCCTGTGGCTTCATCTGCTGGATGGACACTCCCTAATATCTCATTCCTTTAGTTCAGACTTGGTCATAGCCACTCATATTCTTCCTCATCATTGATTTAAGCTGGATAAATAGAAACAAAAGTTGATTTTTCTTCATTTGGCTCTCACTGAAGTAGAGAGGATGGCTTATGTAAAAGTATACGGAAATCATTTTGAAGAAGTGATGATAAGACTTTTGAGCCTGCTCCCAGACTTTCAAGCAAAAGGAGAAAAAAAATACAAACCCAGACACCTTGGCTTCCAGCCATAAGTTCTGTCAATACCTGTTTCTCAAAGCTCTCCTCATTGTGAAATACGCTGCTTAGCAATTCCTTTTTTCGTTTCCTGTATCAGATCCGTGTAGATCACAGTTTGCTACATTTTTATAGCTTTGACTTTTCACCCAGGAAGATTTCTTACAAGAAGTAGGGAAATAGTTTTCCATCCTTACCTGCTGATTGTCTTCCTCAGTTGTTAACGTTGAAGACTGCCTTTGTCAATGGGTTCCTAAATAGCCCAGAGCACAGGGCCCTAGGCCTGATAATGGTCTTGGAAAAATTAACTTTGTAATCATGGTGTTGTGGAGAAGTCACTGCTGGCCTTGCAGTCAGGAGGCCTGACTTCGGTCAAACACTTTTGCAAATGCTCATCTGCTCTCCAGATGTGAAGAGGAGCTATCTTAACAGCTGGTGTGAGTGGTGTTATCCTGCTCCTTGAAGTTGTGACCTTTGGGAAACCCGCTTCTTGTAGAAGCCTCGGTTTCCTCTTCCATAAAATAGCGATCATGGTACTTTGAACTATTTACAGGGTAGCTGTGAGAAAAGTGCTTTGTGAACTTAAAAATTCAGCTTTAGATGTGAATTCTCACCAACCTCCTTTGTCACATGTTCAGCTGTTTGCTCTTTTCCTCTTCAATGTCCAAGCAATGATGTCTGTGTTGTCAGAAAGTGTCAGTAGCCTGAAAGCACGCCTTTAGGGATATTGTGTTTCTATACCCCCGAGCACCCAGCAGAATGTTGGATATGTTGATGTTGAATATATATTTAATGGATTTGAAGAAGAAACTAGGCGGTATGTCTTGCAGAAACCTAGCACTGCAGTGGAATACCTTGCTGCCCACCTCTCTAAAATTCATGGGCTGGATTGGCACCCAGACAGTGAACACGTCTTAGCCACCTCAAGTCAGGACAACTCTGTCAAGGTAAGTGGCACCCTTCAGAACTTCAGGAGGGTCTGGCAAGGGACCTCTGTGTAAAGAAAAGCTGTGCTATATAGGCACATTGGGTATGATTACCGAAAGATCAAGTGCCTCTGTTAAGCGGGTAGTTAGCATGACTGTCAGTCTGTGCCAGTAAGTGGGAAATAGAGTATGCCTGGCAATGTCATTGCAGACTGTTCGGGAGGATGCCTGCTTTCCCAGGCTCCAGCTGGTTATGACCATCAGGATGGGAGGGGACATTATGGTGGACATCTGTTGTCTGCCTGTTTCTTTCAGCTGCCCACTTACAGCAGATGGCCTATGGAGAGAGCCAGTGACTTAAAAGCATCCCTCTGTGCACCTTTGGGTTTCTTGGGATCTAGAACATTATGTAGTCCAAATGACTTTATTAAATCCCAAAGATACTATGCTGGAACGTCTCTACTTCATGCCTGTATCAATATTTTGGCAGACTTAGGATTAATTATATTAGCTTTGCAGTACACTGGAGATAGGGTCACTGGGTCACCTTGAACTAAATTAGAAGATGTTTCATGTAGAACATCTTTGTAGATGACACTCGATTGTCCTTTAGGCAAGCAGTCCATGTCTCCTTGGCAGTATTTCATTTCTCAGTTTATGATTGCCATTATGGAGTTGGATTTGCCATTCTTTGTCCATTGAATGTTAGGTTTTGAAAAGGGTTTTTCAACCATAATGGTTCATTGTTTCCAATTTGATTCAACTTTTTGAAAACAAAAAACCCAACTAATTTTATTGTCTGGGTGTGTCTAGCGCCTCTTGTTCATGGTCACAAATATTGATAGAGCCAGGTGCCCTCTTTGGTTATCGTGGGTGGAGAATGCCTGTGAAATGATTAAAATGTCTTGCTCTGCCCTTGGAAGTAGCATAAGTAGTTTATAGTCAGCTCATTGTATCATGAGCTGCCATCACTGGGGGCCACTCAGGAAATTGTCATGTACTATTTGTAAGATGACAACTGTGAGAATGGATTTTCCGTGGGCAGAGTGTGGGCTATATGATCCAAGAAGCATGGGCCTTGTGAGCTAAATGAAGATGATATGCAGAAATATATCTCACAAATACAAATAGCACTAAGTTATAAGGAAGCACCTATTTCAGAAGAGTAGAACTAATTTAGTAAGTAAGTTTAATCTTTATGACATTTATTCCACAAGTCTCCTGCTTTATTTGTCTAGTTCTGGGATTACCGCCAGCCTCGAAAATACCTCAATATCCTTCCTTGCCAGGTGCCTGTCTGGAAGGCCAGATACACTGTAAGTGAGACACTCTTAACCTCCGTCTAGAAAAAAAATCATCCTGGTACGCCAGGCTCAAGAGGTTGTTAGAGTCTTCTTATGTTTTTTTTGTGTGGTGGACTGTTTACTTGCTGTGATTCATATTGGGTTGGTATCTGTGTTTTGTTTTATTTCTGAGTTTAGGTATCAGTCAGTCATGAAGCATTTATTAAGAACCTACCATTTGTCAGGCACTGTATTCAGAACTGGGGGTACAAAGAAAGCAAAAGTCAGACCTTCCCATTGAGGAGCTCACAGTCTCTTGAGGGAGACAATAAGGAAACAAGCTACAGTACAGGATAAATAGAAAACAATTAATATAGAGAAGCATTAGAATTAAAAGCAGTTCGGAAAGACTTCCTGCAGAAGGCGGGATTTTAGCTGGGATTTAAAGGAAGCCAGGGAAGCCTGTAATCAGAGATGAGGAGGGAGAATGGTCCAGGCATGGGGGCCAGCCAGAAAAAAGGCCTGAAGTTGAGAGATGGAGTGTTTTGATCATGAAGAAGCCAGAAGGCCAATGTCGCGGGATCAAAGAGTACTTGGGAGGAGAGGAGGGGAGTGGAAAGTGTAAGAAAACTGAAAGTAGGGAGAGCAGACTGGGTTATGAAGGGCTTTGAATATCAGAGGATTTTGTATTTGGTCTTGGAGGTGATAGGGAGCCACTGGGGTTTATTGAGTTGGGGTGTTGTGACATGATCAAACCTGCTGGGATGAGTGAGGGTAGAAGCAAATCTCTCTCTCTCTCTTTCTCTCTCTCTCTCTCTCTCTCTTCCCCCTCCTCTGCCCCCCATCAAGACTTTTGAGATTTCAAATATAACCAGATGTTGCAGTCAGGAAATGGAGACATACTAATAATCGGGGAGGAAGAACTTGAGGGAATATATTGCTGTAGCAATTTGGCCATGGCTTTTTGAGTAGGTGCTGATGAAAATGGAGATACTTGTGAGAGAATTTGAATTCTCTTTTTCAATTACTGTGAAAGTTAGCCTTGGGAAAAATAAAACTGCTTTCATATACTTGAAAGTATCTCCAGGTTTGCATGTGGTATAGATATGAATGTGGGCAATCGGTTGTTTTTACAGCTTCAGGGATTTTGGCATCAAATTGGAGAATGTCTTTAAGAACTGAAATACTTCTCTGAATTAAAATATTTGATTTAAAAAACAAAAAACAAAACCAGACCAGCTGTGTTGTGAGAAGGAGAGAGATGTTCACTGCACTCCTATGTTATGCCAGAAATGAACAGCAGTGACCATGGTGCTAGTATTAGTGCCAGCAACTAGCCCAAGAGCTTGTACAAAGTAGGTATTTAATAAACATTTGTGAAATGCTCCTACAAGAAATGTAAGCTCATCGTAAATCCAGATGAGCCTCTCAACAGTTCAAAGGGTAAGGGGGGGTCTGTGATCAAAATTAAAATGTTTGCCTTTTGAGTGCACTTACTCCTGGTGTGGAGTCTACTTCTAATGATATATTTCTTTATTTAAAGAATAAGTGAGCTGATCTGTTAGCTACTAGAAGGTTCTTTGAGGTAGCCCTGCCTACTTTTTCTGTAGAACTCTAGAAAAATTGACCTGTTTGGGCTCATCCAAGAGAACACAGAACAGAAGAATTTTACCATGGCCACATTTGGAACCATTCCGTAACATGGGGGTGAAAGAACTTCTTTCCTAGTACATTTTTACTATGATGTCTCTCTTTTCTCCTTCTCTTGGAGGAGGTTGGGGCTGGTAGTGGAGTGTTGCGAAAGTTAGCTTATTAGGTTAGGTCCTTTCTTCATCTAATTGATTAGTGAGGAATGATTTGATGAACCAGGCCTCTGTCTCCAATAAACATACCTTCTCATTTTCTTCCTTTAAGCCTTTCAGCAATGGGTTAGTGACTGTGATGGTTCCTCAACTTAGGAGGGAAAATAGCCTCCTTCTCTGGAATGTCTTTGACTTGAACACACCAGTGCACACTTTTGTGGGACATGACGATGTGGTGCTGGAGTTTCAATGGAGGAAACAAAAGGAAGGTGAGTGAAGGGTGGGGCAAGGACTACCAGAATGTTTTCTTAGGAAGCTCATTTGCCAATGGCACCAGTCAGTTATGACCATGTATTAAAGCAGAGAGAAAGTAGAGTTGAATGTGTTATTGGTTTTTGGTCCAGCCCTGTGATTTCATCAGTCTGGGGAGCTTTCTGGTGAGGAAGCTCCTTCTACCAATACAGATTGGCAGCCAGTATCCTAGAGCACTGAGAGGTTCTAGTGACTTGTCTAGCATTTCACAGACAGAAGTGGGACAGGAAGTCAGACCCCAAAGCCAGCACTATATCCATTATAACATATAGCCTATCCAAGCTGATTGCCTGTTGAATGAGCACATGACTAGAGTAATGGAGTTAGGCCTGCTCTTTGAAAGGAAGTAACTCTGGGTAAGAGAGTGTCTACGGAACCCCATACTTTAGATGGTAGTTAGAAAAAGGGGTTATGTTGGTTTTGACTGCTAGCCAAAATTCTTCCCTTCTTTCCTCCTGGATTTGAACTTGGGCCCAAGTAGCACTTGCTCTAGGACTACCATGGGGTTGGAAGTCCACTGGACCACAGCTCTTCTTCCTATGAACACAGGGCACTTCCTCCTCACACTGAGGCTAGGGGTGGTCCTAAACATATGGCAGGCAGAAAACTTGTTTCTTAGCTCCTCCAGTACCTCAGTGTGTAAAACTAACCACTTTTTTCTTTCATCCCATTGTTGCTTAGACTTTGCCTAGTGCTATAGCTTCTAAACATTTGACTTAACAGCAGTGCTTTTTTTGGTAATTGTTCCCATTTGATAGAAGTGAAACTGAGGCACTAGTAGATGCTCTAGCTTGGCCAGAGTTTGAAAAACAAGCAGTACTAGAACTGGGATTCGAGGAGTTGGTTTTTGAGTTTCGCTTGCTTCAGAAGCTTGTAAGCTTTTCTAGGGCATATTTGTGATGATCTAAAAAACCTCTCTGGGCACTCGTGGCAGGCTGTCTGTTCTAGATGTGACTTCTCTTGCCAACAGCTTCCACTCCTCTGCCCTTTGCTAGAAGCTTCATGCCCTGTGATTGTCCACACTTTGTCCCTGCCTGTGTCATCAGAAATTCTATGTCTTAGCAGAAATGCCTGAGTGAGGACTTCCCCACCCCCTGCCCCTGCCTGTAAAATCCCAGGTCTTCACCTGTATCCTTGAGCTATGCTGAAATGGAAACGATAAAATACCTAGACATTCCTAGGAAGAGTGACAGCATCTTGCCAGAACTTGGTGGACAGTGTCTGAACTGTCTTCACTTGTAATCTAGGTGCTAATTTTCTTTCCTTTTCTTTCTCTCTCTCTCTCTCTCTTTTTTTTTTTTTTGAGGCTGTCGGGGTTAAGTGACTTGCCCAGAGTCTCACAGCTAGTAAGTGTCAGAGGCTAGATTTGAAGTCGGGTCCTCCTGACTCCAGAGCTGGTGCTCTATCCACTGCACTGCCTAGCTGCCCCTTGTGCTAATTTTCTTATTCCCATGCAAGCTGTGCTCCTGTTGTTAGGAGCATGAAGCCAGGAAGGAGTAGATGGCACTGGCCACAGGCATTAACTTTGGAGGCCCTTAGACTTGGCCATAAAATAGATAAGGGGAGTCCCCAGCAAATGCTAAGAAAGGGCTTGGCAGCAGTCCTCCAGGGTTGAATTGGGGAGCCTGCAGTGAGAGTGTTTTGTGGTGATTCAAGTCCCCTTACTTACCTTGGCATCCAGCTAGTGAGTCTTAGAGCTGGGAGTGATGAATGACACCTTCCAGTCGTGGTGCTTTTTTTTTTTTAAAGACAAAACTTTTTCCCACTCTATTTTTCCTGAATCTCTTCTGCCTTTCCTTTGGTACCAAGAGTGGCTTGGTCTCACTGTCATCTGATGTCACAGATCAAGGAGTCGCCAGCCATTATTTTGCCACTAAAATATGTCCTGCTCATGAGGCATTTTGAGAGAGAATTTTGAACAGACTCTTTACCATTTTAGAATAATTGGTGGATTTAATTTAAGCAAACCCAGACTTGTCAAATAGACAGGGATGGTTGGTTATTCACCTTATAGAAGGACTTAATAACTTGATCCATAAGATTCACCAGAAGATTCCTTTAACTGGCTACTTAAGTCATTCATTTTATTTTTAAATTTGAGACAGCTTTTCAGGATATACCAATTGTGTAAGGCCAAGTATGTCTGTAAAATTGCGTGTGAGGTGTTTAAATCCCAGTACCTCACTTCATGGAGCCCCTTTGGTGGCCACAGAGAATTGTCCCAGTTTATTGAAATTGATGTTTAAATTCACAAGGTGTTTCTGGTCTCCTCATTCGGTGATTGCTAGGGTCCAAGGATTACCAGCTGGTCACCTGGTCCCGGGATCAAACCCTGCGGATGTGGCGAGTGGATTCGCAGCTGCAGAGGGTAGGTATTAAATGCTTTGAGTGATGTTGAATGAATTGTATATACCTTATGCTAGAACCTTTAAAAAAAATTCTGGAGCTTGTATTTTTGCAGTTCAGAAGATGATTCAGAGGTTCTTGGTTAAAAACTTGTTGTTTGATTGACTGACCTGTATACACCTATAGCAAGACCAGACGTAGGAGAATGTGTCCTTGGAGAGGTCTAAGACTTTTGGTATTTGTAGAGAGATGACCTCTTAGTTGTCCAAAGTGCTCCTACCATTTAAGGTCTTTTGAAAGCCTTTTCTTTTCTTGCTCTGCTCTCATTCTGATTTGTGAGATCTTGGGAGATATCCTCAAGAGCTGCTGAAAGGCCATGGTGTCTGAAGAATCCCAGAGACCCCTGTAGCTCCCAAATGGTCATCTTAGTGTTATTGTGTGAATGTGAGGGAGTTCATGGCTTTGGCTACTATCTTGTAGCATCCCCAGTTTTCAGTGCATCCAGAAGCTTCTGCACTTGAGAGTCTTTGGGTCTTGGTAGTCCTGTTTCATGTGAAGTGCTGGCTTCCCCAGCTTTTTTAGGCTAAGAATCACAGCCTTATATCCACTTTTCTGAGCCCTAGTCCATCTTTTCAGAAAGTAACACACTGCTTGGCACATACATGGTCAGTGCTTAGTAAATGCTTTTTCCTTCATTCAGAGTGTGTTCCACATACTTAAAATTTGCATGGAGGTTTGTATTTCCTTTCCCAACTGAATAAGCCTGTGGAATCAAGAAGACTTTTTTGGAGCTGTACATCAACCATGAAGATGCTCTTAATATTCTGATCTAGCCATCTTTCTTGCCCAGTGTCTTTAACAGGGAGAGTTGGAGTTGGGTACAATTAATCATGATATCAGTCCATAACTGATAACATCTGTGTATCATGACCACCTGGTCCCATATACTCTTCACCAAAGACAGATTGTTTTCCCCTTTCTGCTGTGTAGATTATAATAGACCTGATTGATACACATAGACTCTTGTTAAGGAAGTATGCATGCCTCCTTGTGTTTCAGCTCTGTGCAAATGATATCCTGGATGGTGTTGACGAGTTCATTGAGAGTATTTCTCTTCTACCAGAACCAGAGAAGACCCTCCACACCCAAGATTCAGATCCCCAGCCTAGCTCAGGCCACGGGGAGGAGGAAGGTAATCTGGCTGTCGTGTTCTTTACGTGACATGACTTTCCCAGGGTTTGTAATTGACCCAATGACAGAGCTAGGTAGCACCTTGGAGATACGTGATTAAGACTCGCCTGGTAGATGCAGAAGCAGCTTTTTGTTTGTCTGGTTGGTTGGTTTTGGGGGGGGGTTTTAGGCAGTTGGGGTTAAGTGACTTGCCCAGGGTCACACAGCTAGTACGTGTCAAGTGTTTGGTCTGAGACCGGATTTGAACTCAGGTACTCCTGACTTTAGGGCCGATGCTCTATCCACTTCGCCACCTAGCTGCTCCTAGAAGCAGCTTTGGTAGAAGTTTGGAAGCCAGGGAATTGAAGAGGACTCTTTCCCTTAATTAAGAATTTTGGATGTTGGGGGCATCCCTTTCTGAGAGGACTTTAAAAATACAAAATTGTTGGATTTAGATCTGGGATAACTCTCTTATTTCACAAGCTGCTGTTAGGGAGGAGATTGTTTCTTTCTTTCATGTAGGGTTCTAGAATGAGAAATTTGACCTATTAACATGACTTTCTATTTTTAATTTGTAAATTCTTCAGTTACTTTTTGAAACTCAAGCTGGCTTGTGGTTGCCATTCAGTGTTTGTAGCTTGTTATAACCTGAAAGTGTTTATTCATCTTACTGTATTTATGCTATATGTGGAGGCAATAATAACAATTAAAAGGATTTCAATTTTCTTCAGTAGCAGTTACTGTCAGACTCTGGATAATTCCTAGTGCTACTCAGGGACACGTCACTTTTCTTCATGTTGCCTCATCCCTTGACCTAGGCTTCCCGAGCTTAGTATTTTTAAGGTGCCTAGCACATAAAAAAGGTTAAGAGTCTGTAAGGAGTGTCCATGTGGACTAGGGGCAGTTTCCTCTCCAGTCCCCTATATCTGCTCTCCTTTGAAATGGGGGCAGCTTCCATGCAGTACAGTGTCCATTGTGCCCCTTTATAAGACAGAGACATCACTGTCACCAGTGAGGAAAGAGCCCTGAAGGATGAGTGCCTGAGGACTAGCGTGGTGCTTTTTTCAGAGTTTTTTCTTGGGGGCACACCATGAATGGTGACCTGGACTAATCATGCTTAGTTCTTGTTGATCTCAGAACAGGCCTCTTCCACAAGATTGGAGAGTTTTAATTGTCTCAAGTCTTAGCTGAGTTTATGGACTTCTGCTCTTCCCTTTAGTCAGGTGCTGAGAAACTACAGTTGCTTCAGAGCTGATGTCTCTGGCACATTTCCAAAAGTAGCCTTTTCTCTCTCCTGCCAGCTTCAAAGGAAGACTCACCTAACAACCTCCTGATGGGGAAGAAATCGGAACAGTTGGGGTTACCCCAGACGCTACAACAAGAATTCTCCCTGATCAACGTGCAGATCCGGAATGTTAATGTCGAGGTAGTAGCAATTTAAGAACTTGGGCAGCCGCAGGAGGGTATATTCCAGGTGTGGATTCCCAGATGATATGGTACTCTGAAGCACCAATGGTTTTCTTCTTTGTTCCCTAGAGTACCCACAGTTTAGCCGGGATTAAGCTAAGTAAAGGAGGGTCACTCCTTATTCAGCTCTTGAGCTGAAAGCTAGAATGATACCTTGGCACCTTTGCATTTTTAGAACTGAAAGAGACCCTCAGAGATTATTTGGCAGAGAGTCAGACCTTTCCATTTTATGTATGGGAAAGCTGAGGCCCGGAAAAGTGAGCTGAATTGTCAGATCCTCTTGGCTAGTTAGTGTGGAAGAGCTCTTAGGTGTTTGGACTCCTCCTCCCACTGTCCCACTCGATAGCCTAGGTAAAGTCTCATTGACCAGGGTTTATCAGAGGTGTGATCCCTGACTATTTGAAGAATGTATTCTCTTCCCTTCCCCCTTCCTCCCATCTTGCTTTTTTGGCAGGTGATATTAATGAACTCTTAGACTCAAAGAATCAGGATTTCCCTCCCACGAGGAGGGAGCATTAACACAGGATATCCTGAGAATTGAAGGATACAGATGAAGAATCATTAGGAGTTCATTGACCTCTCTGTCCTATCTAGCAGGAGTATTGGAGCTGGAGGAATCCTTCCTTAATCATTCAGTTATGCATGCGTACTTCCTTTCTTCTTTTTCTCCTGCTGAGAAGTAGTACAGACACTTAAGGCTTTGGCTGAAAATAAAGGGACCTGACTTCTCTTCCCAAATGACCTTTATTGTCTAGAGGCAAAGCACTTAACCTTTTAATGCCTTATATTCCTCACTTGAAAATAAGTATAGTATATCATGTTCTGTTTCATGGAATTTGGGTGAAATAAATTTTCAATGACATTAAAACACCTTGATCTTACCAGACAAAGGTGCTATTATAAATGTAAAATAAATCTACTTTGGGGGTGTTGGCTAAATCATCAAGCTCTCTTTGACTTCAGGGAGATCCTACATTTCAGTCTGACACTGGAGGTCTAGGTTTAACTTCTGTTTCTATAAAAAAAATTTTTTTGTGCTTTTTGTTGAGGCAGTCAGGGTTAAGTGACTTGCCCAAGGTCACGCAGCTAGTGAGGATAATGTGTCTGAGACCAGATTTGAACTCAGGTCCTCCTGACTCCAACGCCAGTACTCTATCCAGTGCACTAGCTAGCTACCCCTGTTTCTGTAAATTTTAAAGACCCTTTGAGATCTGATTCAAAAGCAGTTGTTTTGCCTCTTACAGATGGATGCTGTCGATAGAAGTTGCACAGTATCTGTTCACTGCAGTAACCATCGAGTCAAAATGCTGGTGAAGTTCCCGGCCCAGTACCCTAATAATGCTGCACCTTCTTTCCAGTTTATTAACCCTACAACTATTACATCCACCATGAAAGCAAAACTTCTAAAGGTGGGTATCTTTTGATAGACTAGGTGCTTGGGTTCTTTTGCCCCAGTGTATAGGTTAAGAAATGAAGCCACCTAAAATCTGAAGGTTGAGAAGTGGAAGTTTTCTGTTTTTTACCTCTTGTGTTAATTGAATGAAACTCTTGAGTACACCTTACAGTTCCAGTTCTCCTTCCCTTTCCACCCAGTCCTTCCAAGAGTCTCACAGCAGAAGTAAATAATTGTTTGTCCAAGAAGGGGAGTTCCTGGGCAATACCATTCATGAATCCCAGTCAAGTCTACAAACATTTATTAAGTGCCTACAAAATATTTGCCTGAGCCTGTGCTAAATGTTGTGGACACAGAAGGCAGGGATTTCCTGGACATCGTAATCCCAGCATCTTACCTTTTCGTCAGAGAAGGGGGACTCCTTAGATGGCACCAGCATTAGGGTGGCCTTCAAGAGTTTGGATAGAAGGTCTTGATCAGTGTGCTTCTTGCAAAGAAAAAAGCTTCACACAGCCCAGGGCTAAGAGGAGACTAAATCTAGGAACTAAAATTGTAATGCGGAGGAACCAGGGCCCTGTACCTTGTAGAAAGCCAGCTCACTTCCTGGACTGTCAAACTTTCATTTCTTAGGAACTCTAGTGTGTTTCCTTTCCACGGGAAGTCTAAACCACAGGGTGAAGCTATAGTTTGGGGGTGTGAGGTAGGAGGGGGAGTAAGGAACCACACAAGTACCAGTGAAATGAAGGATTTGCTGGAACATTGGGGGAATTACCCTCCTGACCACTCCCAAGTTCAGCCTGAATTAGTGCTAAGTATGGAGGATTTTAGGACCTGAGTGGAAAAGTAGGAATCACCAGAGAGAGTAGAGAAGTGTGTTGATTGTTTGTGGACTATCATGTATCCTTTATTTTCTGCATTTTTTAATGGACTGCTCTGAGTCTTGCATTTTCCATGGGGCAAAATAAAAGCTTGTGTGGGAGCTGCGGACCCCCTTTTACTCATGTCTGTGGATATGAACTAAATTTGGAGATTTTCCGAATAATAGTTCTGGGTAGGGCCAATACAAAACAAAGAGAAAATGACCTTTTGGGGCCATTCCCCAATCTTCCCCTCCTGAATGAGGTCAGGGCCTGGGTGGCTTGGCCACAGGTAAAAAAGCCATGTCTAGAAGATGAAAGCAAGGGCTGGTAAAGGATCCTGAAGCACAGCATAGTTCTGTAGGAATTGTGTCAGAAGCAGGTCCGCTCAGAATGAACTGTGAGGCTGGGGTGGGAGGAGAAGAAAAATGGAAGTGGGGAGCTGGGAGTTAGGCTGTATTGGGGAGAAGTGAGAAATCAGATAAGGTCATGGGTGAAATGATGCCTGAAAGTGCAGACATCACAGAACCGTTCCTTTTTGATTGTTTCTGTTTGCCAGGGAGAGTGAGGTTTGGAGTAGAGAAGAGAGAACAAAACTGGTTAGTGAGGAGGTGAAAGCAGAGGTGAGTAGTAAGAGAGCGTCAGGATGCCTCTGAAGAGTTCCAGCAATAGACCCAGGTCATTGGCGTCACAGGATCCTGGAAAAAGGGGCAGAGGTGATTGCAGAGCCTCTCAGTGATCTGTCGCAGATCATGAAGAAGGGGAGAGGTGCCGCAGCACCGGAGAAGGGAAAATAGGCTGGTTTTCTTTTTAAAAAGCTAGGAAATGCAGAGCTAACACATTGAATAATAGCATACAGAAGTAACTCTTGCAGGCTCTAATGTTGGGCTGTATTTCATAAGATGACATTTAATTGAGATAAATGTAAAGTCATATTTGTTCAAAAATCAACTTCCTAGGTGTAAGAGAGGAGGTATGGCTAAGCACATAGTAATTGCTCTAGGAGTTTTAGGATTAGTAAGTTAGCAGTATGGCAGAGAGCTCCTGCACTCTTAGGCTACGTTCAGAGAGGCCTGGTCTTCTGGACCTGAGCAGTGATAGGCCTGCTGTGCTCTGCTTGTCCAGTCAGACAGTTCTGGACCCCGAGCTTTAGAAAGGGCATTGATAGGCTGGTGAAGTTCTCGAAGAGGGCAGCCAGGATGGTGAAAGGTGTTGAGATAGCAGCGTATGAGAATGGGCTGAAGAAACTTGGGGTGTAGAGCCTGAAGAAGAGATGACTTAGTGGGGCCATGATCACTGTGCTAACACGTACGAAAGACTTCCGTATCAGGTAGAAGTAGTGTTAAAACAATGATAATAGCTAAAATTTATATTTGTTATACAGTAACACTTACTATGTGTCGGGGCACTGTGCTAAGTGCTTTAAAAATATGATCTCATTTGACCCTCACAGCAACTTGGGTGGTAGGTGCTGTTATTATCAACATTTTACAGCTGAAGAAACTGAGGCCAGCGGAGGTTTATTGACATGCCCATTGTCACCCAGCTAGTCAGTGTTTGAGGCTGGATTTGAACTCAGGCCTTCCTGAGGCTCTATCCACTGCACCACCAGCTGCCTCAAGATTTGGTCTGCTTGGCCCCAAGAGAGCAGAGCTGAGAGTAGTACCCTGGGGAAGTAGCCAAGAGGCTTATGGAGGCTCTGGCAACCAGAACTAACCAAAGGTAGCGTGGACTGTGTCAGGAAGTAGCCAGCTCCGCATCACTGAGGTCTTTAACCAAGCCTGGATGGCCCATGGCCAGGGACTCCTTTGTTCAGAAAGAGCCCAGCTGGAGGATTTCCTGTCCCCTGACGTGTGGACACGAGCTTACTGCTGGCCTCTCGGTGCTTTTTCAGATTCTAAAAGACACCTCCCTGCAGAAGGTGAAACGTAACCAGAGTTGTTTGGAGCCCTGCTTGCGCCAGCTTGTCTCCTGCCTCGAATCCTTTGTGGTAAGAAGAGCACCTTGGACCAGCACTTTACTGATGAGCTGATGCCCATTTACACAGCAGGGCACCTTCATTCACAGTCTTTAAAGGAGTTTTACCAAATATATTAACACAAACATCTGTATTTCAGAACCAAGAAGACAGCACGTCCAGCAATCCCTATGCTCTCCCAAACACTGTTACTCCACCCTTACCTACCTTTGCCCGGGTGACCAGTGCCTATGGATCCTACCAAGATGCCAACATCCCCTTTCCTCGGACCTCAGGAGCCAGGTTCTGTGGAGCAGGTCTGTTCCTTTGTGGCCTGGCGTGCCTAAAGTCTCAGATTAGGAACCGTCATCAAGTGTGCATCTGCTTGGCTGTAGCACCTGACTCCTCCACAGATTGGCGTTTGATTCTGAATTTTGTAACTGACTCTGATTCCAAGAGTCTTTAGAGAAAGCACCAGAAAGTTATTCATTAGGAACTTTAAAGACTTTGAGCATGCAAGTGATGTGCTCATTCTGTGAATTGCCATTTAAAAATCTTGTTGACTTCTAACTTATTAATTGGAATGAATTTTAGAGGTACAGAGCAATGGCCAGCGTATGATAGCTGTGCTTTTTCTTGTGTTTAACTTACTCTCTTTTCTCTAGTGGGCACACTGTGTTATAATTCTGTTTGGCAAAAGTAATTCAAGAAAGATATTTGGTTATTTGTAAGATTTGTAAGATACCCATAAAATGCCAGGCTTAGAGCCCCATGCTCTGGGAGAGGTGGTTGTCCAGAGTGGCAGATCTTAGGATGCATTTTAAGAACCAGCAACTGCAAGCTTGTAGAAGTATTTTAGACTGTCTACAGAGGCCTTAGCACAGTTGGGCAGCAGAAGGCCTAAAGCACACAAAAGCCTAAGAGCCAGAGGAACACAAGAAATGACCACATGACAGTTTTGACTCACATGTTGGACAGGTGGCCTTGAAGCAGGGGTTCAGGAAGCATTTCAAACCTATTTGTTTTCTACCATGATCCTTCTCATGTTTCTCTCTCTGTTTTGAACTGGTGAAATTTTTGGTTCCACTCTTACTACCCTAGAATTATTCATTTTCTATTCTATGAGAACTCAGAAACTTTCCCAGTTGTCTGTCAGTGTTTAAACTGACCAGTTCCCAGTCCTGAATTGTGGTCCCTCTGGAAATAGCAATAGAAGATTCACCAGAACTCCAGCTTTTGTTTTTCTGGCGTGGTGAGGGTGTGTGGGAGCAGTGCTTTACTTATGGTTTTCCATGATCCGCTTCAGTGATATCATCTGATTTGTTTGGTATTATCTCCTTTCCTCAGGTTACCTGGTGTATTTCACAAGACCTATGACAATGCATCGGGCAGTTTCTCCGACAGAGCCTACTCCTAGGTGTGTTTGGAAAGCTGCACGAGAGGGCTGTGCTGTTCATAGGAGCTGTCAGGAACGCGCTGCTGCCTTTGGGGCAGTGAAATGAAGGGATCTCTTTGATGAACTCAGTTTCTCTCTCCTCTTCAGGAAGGAGTCAGCCACCATTGTTTCTACTGACAAACTGACCTTTCTTGTGCTAGTTCACTGTCAGACACGTAGAAGGAAAAGCTCAATAAAAGCAATGGTTAAATCAGATCATGTCATAAGTTAGGAGAACTTTTGCATTTCAGCAGCTTGGGAATGATACCAGATACCCCTGAAAATATGTCCACGTGTCACAGGTCACTGAAGCAACACACAAATTCTTTTGTTGAATACTACGTAGAGTTGTATGTTTCTCTCTCTCTCTCTCTTCCTCTCCCTTGTTCCAACAATGCTATATCTTCATTTACAGGTCCCTGTCAGCCTTGTCTGCCTATCATAGTGGTTTGATCACACCAATGAAAATCCGCACAGAAGCTCCTGGTAACCTACGCTTGTACAGTGGGAGCCCCACTCGGAGTGAGAAGGAGCAGGTCTCAATCAGCTCCTTCTACTATAAGGAACGGGTAAGTTTCAGAACCAGTGGACTTGGGCTTTTGTCAACTTTCCCTAGGTTTTTGTTCCTTGAGGAACTTGAGTGACAACAACAGCATTTTATAATCTGACTCAAGGCCACCACTTTTCACACAGATCTGTGATTTGGCTCTTCTCTCATTATTTTAATGGCCTGTGTTTATTTTTTGTTGTGTTTTGGGATAGCCCACTTCCTTCACTCCACATCTAACCTTACTCATTTCCATTCATTTTGTGGACCATCTTACTACTTTACATAGAGTGGGTTAGCTTCAGGTTTTTCCTCGTGCTAACCTGTTCTGTTGGTGATTCTAAGGTGATTCTCCAGACCTTCATGTTTCTAAGACTCGGTATTTGTGTCTTTCCTTTCTGCTAGGGAATGGGGAATGGCCAGAGTGGAGGCATCTGTGCCATTAATCTTGATTGCTCTGTTAGGCAGTTTTGCCTGTTTCGTTTCATTCTTGTGTGAAGGAGATTTCTCTGATGTATCAGGAAATGATTATTATGACAAGATAGAGACCAAATTAGGAGTGGGTCTCAAGTCAAATCTGAGCAAAAGCGTTTGTGGTCCAGATTTCACTTAGGCATTTTTTTTCCCAGCCTGACTTTTAGGGCTAAGAATGTGGTAAGATTCAAGTGGGACACAAACATCTTGGTGATAAAAAACAATTATAGGGTTTTAAAGGCTATTTAGCTATGAAAACTTAGAAATGCTAATGAGATAGCAGGTCTGTTTTTAAGTTAGGCTCCAACGGTTCTTGTGTTTTCGAGGAAAGCCAAACCAACTTACCATTTAAATGGATTTCTTGGTACAAAATCACTTGAACTTGTGCCAGGGCTTCTGGGTTTCTGAGGATGCTCACTGACTCTCTGTGATTATGTTGAAGGCCTGAAGCTGTTAGGAATCTCTGGACTTTCAGCCATGCTGGGGAGAGCACAGCTTCTCTGGGAAGTGGGTGAGCAGAGATGGGGCATCTTCCTGATTGCTCTTAACCAGGGCTGGGCTTAAAGTTGTTGTTGTTGTTGTTGTTTTTTAACAGCCTAATCTTTTCCATGGAAAAATAAAAAACTAAAAGTGTAAGAAATTGAATAGCAACAAGGGCTCAGGCCACTGGTGCCATCTCTTGGGGATCATTGCTGCACTCTTCTGCAGAAGAGATTTCCTGATCCTACCTCCCATTTGTCTGACCTTTTTGTGAGTCTTTTTGAGGTCTAGTTCAACAATCCCCCATCTGATTTTTATAGCCCGTGCTTTCTCTGTGCATTGTTACTTTCTTGTAGAGTCTCCCTTTTTCCCCTTTGAATGAATCAGAATAAAGAATAGTACCATTGCAGAATGAAGGTTTGCGAAGGGAAGAGACCCAGTCTTTGGGGATCAAGGTCAGAAGCAAGCTTGTAAGCCATTTTGGGCTGGCTGCTCACTGCCCTTGATGGGTGTGGGTTGGATGTGCTTGTGTGTAAGCTCACCCAAGGATCAGCTGGAGTGCTGTTCTGTACAACACAACAGTCTCCACTTTGGATCGAGACCGAATTCAAAGCCTGGGAAAGTGTTAGCAGAGAGTTAGAAAACAGAGGGGACTCTCAAGTCATTAGATTGCTTGGCCAAGGTCGGGGGGGGGCTCTTGCTGAGCTGTTGCCAGAAGGGAACCAGCTAGATGGCACAGTGGGTAGAGCACCAGGGCTGGAGCCAGGAAGACTCATCTTCCTGAGTTCAAATCTGGCCTCAGATACTTACTAGCTGTGTGACCCTGGGCAGGTTTCTTAACACGATTGCCTCAGTTTCCTCCAATGGCAAACCACTCCAGCATCTTTGTCGAGAAAATCCCAAATGGGGTCACAGAGAGTTAGATATGATTGAAATGACTGAAAAACAACATACATATAGGTATAAGTGAGGCCTCAAGCTTTCATGATTTCTCGAAGTCACTGACTTCCATCTCCTCAACATCGGGAGCTCTCATGCAGCAACACTGTCTCTGTTTCCCATCCACAGTTATTTTACACCGTTTCGTAGTCAGTGAGCCATTTTGTTAGCCTGGGTGTCCAGCAGAGTACTGCTACCCTCTGCTACTCTTTGTTTTCTCCACTCCTCTTTGGTTCTTGCCAATATTTTGACTCTGCTTATCCAAGGCATTCCCCTGTTGTCTATCCCCTAGGTGTATAGCTTATGACCCTCAGATATGTCAGTTCTGTGAATGAGCTTCTCCATTTTAGTAATGAAGACTTTTCTCTCAGCCTCCCACTTTCTACTTAGAGGTGTAGCTGTGAGTTCTTTAGTCTTTTCAAGCTGCACAAACATTTGATCAGAATCCTGGTCTCTCGGGGCTCTGTGGATGGTCTCCTAGCCTCCCAAAACTTTAAATGCAGTCTTGACTGATTATGGTTATAACTGACATTATGTTTGGAATTGGGGGGGAATGGGGTGGTGAAAGAACAAAGTACTGTGAATGCTTAGTTTTTTATTTTTCAACAGATACAGTTGTCATTTTGTAGTAAATCACACAGTACTTTCTGATCCATCAGATTTATGGAGAAGTTTCATTTTACTCTATATTTTTCCTTTTTAATTTTCTTGGTGTTTTTCTTCCCTCCTCTTGGGTGTAACGTTTTCATGCACAGATGTCTCCTCGCTCTGCCCGGCGACGTTGGTCCATACAAGCAATTAACGACTTCCCGGTACTGTGCGCTGTGCTAATACTCTCCTTAACTAACCCTGTCTCCTATCTGAGGGCCCAAGAATAAAATGCCGCCTGTCTGGCTTGGAGAAACCCAAACAACAGGCTGAACCAGTGATAATGAACTTGTTTTCACTTTGGGGGGTGGGGGATGGGGATTGGGGGCACAAATGGTGGCAGTGGGGATGCTGGCAGACACCTTGAATGGACTTTTGAACATGGGTCCCAATTCTGGGTGTCTAGGAAATGACCCCTATTGGAACATTTTAGCTAACTATGATGTCACTTTGAATGCATGCTATTTCTGAGAGATTCAAAATAAACCACTTTTGGGGTGGAAGAAGCCAGAGGAAGGTGTGAGAGGTGTCGGCCACTCTGTCCCTCTCGCAGCAGCTTTGCTCCTTTCAGAAAAGGAGGGTCATATGTGCACCCCTGCCTGGCACTGGGTATATCACAGTCGATTCCTTAGGGAGTTTTCAGGGGAGGAATTCTTATCATTCATCATTTATAACATCTTTATTTATAGACATTCTCTTAAAACAAATTCATTCCCGTTGACCATCTACCTTTTTCTGGCCTTCTCTCCCACTCCTTGAAATTGATGAAAGTTGTGCCGAGGTTAGATGAGGAGAGAGAGAGAGAGAGAGAGAGAGAGAGAGAGAGAGAGAGAGAGAGTGAGAGTGTGTGTGTGTGTGTGTGTGTGTGTGTGTGTGTGTGTGTGATGGTCTGAGCCTGTGATTTCATTGGTGTAGGGAGTTTCTGATGAGGAAACGCCCTCTACCGATGTGCACCAGCATCTGTTCTATACCTTCCATCTTAGAGACTTGCCTGGGGCACTGAGAGGTTGAGGGACTTGAAGTCACACAGCCAGTATGCCTCCTCCTCCTAGGTGAGATTTGAGTCTAGCTCTTGCTGGCTCTAAGGCCAATCCACACACACCTCAGTGTATGTGTATAGATTGTGTCTGTGTGTGTTTGTATGTCTGTGTACAGAAAAATGGAAGAACAATGAATATTCATTTTCACATAGAAAGTTGACACCAGCAGCCCTGGTAGAGTGAATCTCCCCACTGCTAGCTGCTGTCAGCGAGAATCCCTGCTGCAGCCACCATCACCGAAAGACCCTGACTGAGCCAACCTGGCTGCCAAATTTCCTCAGTTCTGAGGGAGCCTAGAAAAGAGTCTGGGTTGTGGCCCATTTGCTGATTGTGCAGGGTTAATTGGGATTACTACGAAGCAGTTGGCGGCTTATTCTTGGGCTATATGTTTTTACATTTAACCCATTTAGTGGCATCACTGTTACCTTAGGTGACAATGACATGCTTCAATCTGGTGGTACAATTGTTGTGAGCTGGCTTTTGGTCATTATTCAGTGGTTTTTTTCACCAATCCTCCCTCTCCCAATACCTACTCCATTTCTCTCTTCCCCATAATTATGTGAACTCTTTGATTCCACACGCATAGAATGGCTGATTGGGTCTCAGTTGGTTATCATGGTAATTGGCACATGTCTTTCAGTTTGTCTTTGTCTCCCCATATCTGTCTTCCCCGTAATTCTGAATCCCTGTGGTAGGAGCACTTCCCACCACTGATGTGTTGTTCCAAAAATCATAAGAGAGATTCTGGGTCCTTTATCAAATATTAGAAACATTCTCCATTTAGGCTTGTCAGAATGAGACTGGAGCAATGCAAGATATGTGACTTCAGTGACCTTCTACCCCCCATGCAATGCTGATAGCCGTTGCTTTGTAGGCCTGGGAGTCTAGTAAGGAACCCATGCTTTGTTCTGATGGCTAGGAGTGGGGAAGTAAGTTGCAAAGTGATGGGAGAAAATGTTAAGGGAGAAAATCCAATCAGGAAAGCAAAAATGGGATGCTTAATTTCTTACCTTCCAAAGAGCACTGTAGAAGGCACATTGAAAATTGCTCAGTCACCTGGCAGGGACTTGAACTATTCAGTAAAGGCCAAAAGATGCAAGCCGGCCATCAGCGGTCAGAGGTCCCCAGCAGAGCACAGCTCTTGCCTGTCTGGCTTTTCACATTATTTGGCCATTGTACAGCCTTGTTTAAAAGCTTGGTCTCTCTTCTTTTTTTATTTTACTTAGTGTTTTCTTTTTCCCCAATTACATGTAAAAACTGGCCTCTCTTTTTGTAGCGAGATATCATACATAAATATTTTGTCCTGTGGAGTCATCTAGGCAAATCTCTGAACTTTATGTAGTTATCCTATTGTCGAATTATAAGAATGAATCTTATAGTGGTTTCTATAGATTGATTATTGGAGGCAGCTACCCCTGTGATTTGGACTCTGAAAGCAGTCTTCCAAGCCTCCATGATGCACTACGTTTCCAGTAAAGAATTAAGTGATGCCTGGAAGACCTGAGATCCCGAGAGAATAACCAAGAAGCCCTGGAACTGTAGGCCCAGGTTCTGCTAATTCAGTAGATAGATGACCATGAAGAGGTATCACAGCATTCTGAGTTGCAAGCTGTGGAAGCTGCAGAGCTCAGTTTGAAATATAACCTCTTAATGTACAATGCTCTGTAGGCTATGGACTCCTTAAGCAATTCTGTTAAAGAAATGGTACTAGCTCACGTTTACAGAGTGGTACACAGGGCTTCCATGTACATTTTCATTTGACTTTTACAACCTGGGGGTGGGGGAAGGGTGATTAGTACACATCTGTATTATCTTCATTTAACAAATGAGGAATCTGATGCCAGATGGTGTCAGGGAACATTAAATTTGGCCAACATTACCAGGTGGAATTGGAATTCAGCACAGACTTAACACTTCTACTTGTAACTCCAAGCCTAGTGCTGTAATTATTATTACCTGTCATTTTGCAGATTGGCCGGCATATTTGCAAATGGGACATTTTCTGCATATAGTCCATGTTTTAATAGGTATGACTCTTTTATTGATGAAAACTAAGAAGCCAGAAATCTGCCATGTCATTAGTTAATATCATTGTTTTCTAGAACATTTGCTACTTATAAAATAATAAAAACAATTTCCTTGTGGGACATTCATTTATTTCTATTCAGTGTATCATTATTAGCATCGCTCACCTGTTTAAGTGCTTCATTTTCTTTTAATATATTTTTATATTTATTAGCATATTTATGTTAGCATATTAGCATATAAGTACCTGGTTTGGCTTCCAGGAATATTGATTTAACAGCCTATTAGGAAACTCATCCAAGTCAGAAGACTAAATGAAACTGACCAATATTTAGCTTTTGAAAGAGGGATGTTGTTAGATGGATCCTGTTTTAGCTTAGAAATGTCCAGTCAGTATGGTCATGGTAGCAAGCTGACTCCTCATCTGAACCAGTTCAGCAGTGCCCACAAGAGAATAACCTCCAGCATGGGCTATGTCTTTAGAAATTTGGATACCATTATAGTAAAAATTAGCTTGACTGTTCATTTGTAACTGACTTACAAAACACTCGAGCAAATAACGAGGCACTATCTGGGGTCATTGCACAGAGGGATGTTAGATGAATGCTAAGAGGTTTGTTATTGTCAAATGGTATTTATTACATAATGTGAATGCATGTTCTAGCTGTCAACATTGCCTGGCTCCAGCCTATTCTGACAGTCTGTTACCTTTTAACATACTAATTGCTTAGGATTTGGGCACTTCCTCCACTTGCATGCATTTCATTGTTTGGTCATTGAAATATTAATTTTATCAGCATGCACAGAGAGATATGCTTAAGAAAAAGCTGAAAGAACCTCGTGAGGGGCTCTCTAGCCATTATGGACTAATCTTCCTCTGAAATTGATGTATAATTTATTTATGGTTAAATGTGGAAAATATTCCTTCAGAAAAATTGGGTTCAGGCCCCAAATGATAATGCACTTCCATTTTATCTCATAGGTATTTAAAACAAGGTGTTCCTTCCTTTACCTGCCATGACCTAACTTTAGGTTCTTAGAGTTTTGTTGTTTACGTAGCACTTAAGGATCCCTTGAGAAGAACTGATTATCTTTCGTTAGGAATGAGGCATACTGGAATCTTGCGGGAGAGAGAGCAGTTCTCAGAAAGGGCATAGGCTTGGCTTGTGATTTAAGAAATGAAAGTCAGATTTTGTTGAGATGAACTGAGTTGTAGATAAAGGTTTTATTTTTTGAGTTCTCATAAGAACATGAAGAGTCTTTTAACACCAGGATTCATCCCCACGTTATGTACGTTTACTTCCATGCCCAGTGCTCCTGTCCTGGGAATAACCATACCCTGGCTTAATCCAAGGGCTGTAGTATGATAAAAGTATTGATACGATTAATGTTACTGAAAAAAGCCAGATGGGAAGTATATATCGATTATTCTCACTGCAATGAGAATTTCACACAAATAGCCACATTGAAATTGCATGCAAGGCATTTTATATCCAATACCACAATCTTTCTACTTTCTAGACATTTTTGGCATTCTTAGGTGACTAGTTGTGGAAATAATGAGAAATAATTATAATAGGAAAGATTCAGGCTATCTCATTTTGAGCTGCCTAATTTCTCTCCTCTACTAGTGAGAGTGGTGATTTTGCTCAGCATAGATCAGATTGCAAAACCCATGTTATTGTGCCCTAATAAAAAGTTTCAACAGATCCTATTGGAATTGACTGAAGGAAGAAAAAATGGATGTCAGTTCAAACACAGAACTTTGATTAAAGTGATTAACATAACTAAAACAGTTTTTAGGTCCTTTTGTTTCAGATGGCTTTTTGCTATCTTTATATAGCTCTGTTTTGTTCTAGCTTCAGTCATATGAAAAATAAATATGCAGTCATTAAACACCTATTAAGTGCCCAGGCCTGTACTAGGCATTGACAACTTTCTGGGATTTTTGGACCAAGAGTTCATTGCCCTCGTCATCATTTTACTTCCAGAAGTTGCTGTCTTATTATGGGCATGCCGCATTGAAAAGTCTTTGTAGACTAGGCATTGACCCCAACCCATTGAGCTGTTCAGTTCTAGGTTGGCATTCTTTGTGACCTCTCATTAACACGTTTTCATCTCTTCCCCTAGAAATCACGGAGATGGAAAAGCAAACGGGAGGGTACAGACTCTGGGAACCGCCCAATCAAAGCTGCTGGAAAAGTTATAATCCAGGATATTGCCTGCCTGCTGCCTGTGCACAAGTCACTAGGAGAACTCTACATGTAAGTAGAAAATTCCAGAAGTCCTTCGTGTACTTGGAAATCAAAGATTGCATTATTGTTTAGTTGTTTTCATTTGTGTCAAACTCTTCACGACCCCGTTGGGGGTTTTCTGGCAAAGATAACTAGAGTGGTCTGCCATTTCCTTCTCCAGTTCATTTTACAGATGAGGGACAGGCAAGCAGGGTTAAGTGACTTGCCCGAAGTCATACAGCTGCTATGTGTCTGAGGCTGGATTTGAATTCATATCTTAATGATTCCAGGCCAGGCACTCTATCTCCACTGTGCTATCTAGTCACCCTAAGATTACACTACACATATTATTTTATTCTGCAATTCCTCTGTTCTGAATGACAAAAACCCGTTCTTTGGGGCTTTATATACAAACTGTTCTCATTAAAGTCTGTTGTCATGGTTTTTATGTCACTTGAAAGCTCTGGTCAAACCACAGAAAAATTGGTTGGAATATTGTACCTAGCTGTGGCTTCTCCTAACTTCCCGGAGTAATGAGTGGTTACAGTCTAGCTCCCTGTCTGTTCCCCAACATTGGATAAAGCTCCAGATGATCTTTGCTTTAGTATATCAAGGAAAAGAAGATGGCTTAGTGAAAACAGAATAATGACTAAATTATTTTTAGAATCTCCTTCACCTCCAAGTGTTTCTGTCTGTCTGTCTCTATTTAAAACCAGCAGTGGTTCATTTGGGAAGGTCATCTGGTAAGAATCATTCTACTTTTTGCTTTTCAGACTGAATGTTAACGACATTCAGGAAACCTGTCAGAAGAATGCTGCCTCGGCCTTGCTTGTGGGACGCAAGGATCTTGTCCAGGTATTGACTTTCCCTCTGCAGAGATAGCACATCAGACCTGGATTTTCTCGTTGAAAAGGCTGTTCACTTTTGAATGCCATTTTAAAGTGTACGTTATACATTTTAAATGTACAATTTATATTTACAATGTACAGTGTACATTTAAAATGTACAATGTCAAAATCCTTAATGGTCTGTGCCAGCACACAGAACTTGAGTGCCTTCCCAGTTTTCTCCCATTTCCTGCTTCATGTGAGGAGGTTGAACATTTTAAGGGGAGCACTGTTTCTTGTTGTTTCTTTTTCATAGCTTACACCCAGGCCAGTATTAAACATCTTGTACTTGAATGTCATTGGCTGAGGTTCTCTTGTTGAATCTTGTCCTTTACACAACAACCCTTTTGCATAGTATCAGGGTTGGGCTGTAGCAGAAACTGGCTACTTCCTCCTTGACTCTTGTTCACTTTAACTTTTTTCTTGTCTATACGCCATACAAGAAACAGTGCTGAGACCCTGATTTTTTTTAAATAAAAAATCCTCAGTATCTCCCATTCAGCACATCTAACGGTCCTCTAGCCAACATTGCTAAATTTGTTTAACTCTTTGGGATTTGTGATAGGAATTATGGGTTTAACTTGTTTCTAAGAGGATCCAGTCTCAGAGATTCTTAGCATTCTGAGATGAGCACATATTTGATTTCCCCTCCCATGACTTATTTTTGATATGAATGTCTTTCTTAGAAGCAGAATGACTCTTAACAGCTTTTAGTTTTCAGTAATGTTCTAGTATATAGTGGGTTGTGAAGGATAGACTGCTCTATCTGTCTCTGTCTATTACTATCTGTCTTAATAAAGTTTGGTGAAATTACAGGTTGGTGAAAATACTTGTAAAAATCTTTTCATTATTTCCTTTAACTTGTGCCTCAAGCCATACATTAAAGATATCAGATGCCTTTTGCTCAGCAAGGATCTACAGAAATAGACTGTGTCACTGTTTCCAATGGAGGACTTTAGGGCATGTTTCCCCTGAGGTTATTAGTAGTTCAAGATCATTCATAGCAAAATCAGCAACTAAATTCCTGCCAAAAGTCTATTAAGCAGTTACCATAAGTGAACTGCTGATATTAATGAACCAACAGAAATGCATGTTTTCTCTTAAAATAACTGCCTCTTTCCAACCAGGTGTTAGTTATCTGGAATAATGAGTGTCAGGGATATGATAGGTGAATGCAAATTTTAGATAATCTCCCCCCCATCTCATTTTCTCATTTTAGCAAATAACAATTTCTTTAACTCTTGTGTATATATAAATGTTCATACATCTATAATTGACTTTACATAAATCAAGGCATTATTTACCATTTGTTTTTATGTGTTTGATCATCACTTAATCAATAGTTAAGTGCCAGCTCTGTGCCAGGCCCTGTCCTAGGTTCTGGGGTTACAAATGTAAAAGTGATACAGTCCCTGTCCTCAAGGAATTTACATTCTGCAAGGGAGATGCAACATATCCACATGTAAATAAATATGATATGTATACAAAATAGCCTCCTTGAGGGGAGGGCAAGAAACTTTGTTTTGTACTTATCCATATCTACTACTGTGCTTTACACACAATAAGAACGGAATAAAATTTTATTAATTGATTATCAAGGGCATGCCTGAAGACTATAAGCTGACAGTCATGGAGGCATTCCCTCAGTTTGATGTGAGCAAAAAAGAAGTTTAAATCCAAATACCTCACCTTCAAAGTAAGAAAATAAGTTGTGATGACAAGTGATACAGCAGAGTTCTTCATGATTGGTACTTTGAGATAAAGGCAGTAAAAACAACCTCAATTTCCAAATGAAATATGAACTGCCAAGGAGATCTCAAACGAGGAATCCACATGTCATTTCCACATTACCTAAGGACCCAAAAGAGGCAGCAGGGGGAGTGTAGAAAAGAATCCCAGAACACGACTTTTGGAAAAGACTTCCATAGCCTTACAGCATTCGCACTGAATGGCTGATGAGCCTTGTTTTCCTCAGTGAGGTGGAACCAGCTAACTCCTGAGGCCACTCAAAGACAGCTCTGATTGTTCCAAAACTCGTCTTTCTCTAACTTCCCCTCGTTGCTCCTGGTTCTTTTTGCTAGGGCCAAACTAAACAAATCGATCTCTCTCTTCTACATGATAGCCCTTTATTTAAAATTTTAAAGACATCTGTCATTCTCTCCCTAAGTTAGGAATAGCTTAGAATTTTTTAGTGTCCAGGACCCCTTTGGCAGTCTGGTGAAGCCTGTGGATCCTTTCTTAGAATAATGTTATTCTGTTTGTGAAGTACATGGAATGCCACAAAGGAGGCTCATTCTGTTGAAATATGTTTATCAAAATGTTTAAAAAGAAAAGAACAAGGTCACAGACCCCAGGTTAAGAACCCCTGCCCCCAGTCTTCTCTTCTCCACACTAAACATCCCCAGGTCTTTCAGCTGATCCTCATGTGGTATGAACTGACAGCCCTTCATCCTGTCTGCTATCATGTGGATGCTTTCCTACTTCTTAGTGTTCTTCTTGAAATATAGAGCCCAAAGCTAACCATCATCCTCCATGGCTAAGGAGAGCAGGCTTCTGCCCTCTTTATTCCTGAATGTTCTGCCTGGATGTTCTAAGTGCAACCTAAGATGGGTAGTATTGGCTTTCTTAGCTTCCATCACACAACATCACCCAACACAGTGTTGAGGCACTGAGGTCTGGCCATCTCTCCTCTCTCTAGTACCACGAGGTTAATCCTTTTAATCAAAATGTGATTATCTTATTCAGACTGGCCCAGTGTCCCAGCTTGTCATGAACTTTTTGAAGCCTGCCTTTCACCTAGTTGGTTAGCCAGCTGTCCTTCCTAGCTTTGTGTTATCTGCCAGTTTGATAAGCATGCCATCTGTGCTTTCATCCAAGTCATGAACAGATATCTTAAACAGTACAAGATGAAATGAAACAACACATAATGGGGTTAAATCAACTGCTCATTGTTGTAGGGGCACTGAATTATCTAGCCTCAGCTTAGTTAATGAGGGTTAATTAAACTACTTGTATATCCTTGGAAAGTAGATGAGGGTTTTTTTTTTTCCATTGCCTCTGGTCTCATCCTCACTTGGTTGTATTCAAATGTGTTTCTTTGATCTTTCCAGGTTTGGTCACTGGCTACTGTAGCTACTGATCTTTGCCTGGGCCCAAAATCTGATCCAGATTTGGAAACACCGTGGGCCCGACATCCATTTGGACGACAACTATTGGAGTCCCTGTAGGTTTTTAAAGGCTAAAGGCTGTGAGACGTTATAGGGTTATAATGGGGTTGAGGGAATCTATTCATTAAAACATATTAATCTAGTTTCCGTGACACTGGTTAAGAAGAACACATAGAATAAGGTCTGTTTCTTTATTAGGAAGAAGTTCCTCCTCATACACATGTGCACTTTGAAGATTTTTGTTTGGCCCATAGCTGCCTCATCCTAATAATGCAGACTGAAGACCTCTTGAAGTGGAAGGTTCCATTGTGTAGAACCACTAGGCCGCTGGTACAGTGGAAAATGGCTTTGGGAGTCACTGCTGGCAGCTCCTTTCTCCAGTTTACTTCTTGATGGTCAGAGTCAGATTGCTTCAGAGCACTGAGTCTGTATTAAGTTCGTGACACTTTAATCTGATAAAATGGAAATTTAATAAGACTTAGCCATATGATATTTCTTGGGCAGAGTCCCCAACAAGACAAGCTGACGCCTCAGCATTGTGAGGAGATTCTGTCCATTCCTGCAGGCTACATCTTGCTTTACCTAATTGAGAATAGACTCTGGAGTAATACCAGTTTTTGATTATATCTTTTATAAAATGGGAAGATTACTACCTACTCTGCCTATCTTATGAGATATCTGTAAAACTTAAATGAGATCATATGTGTGAGAACTTTGTAATTGTAAAATGCTAAACCCTGTAAGGTATCATTGCTGTCATTACTTATTCTCAGAGCAAGGGCCTGATGGTCTTTCCTTTAATAATTTAGTGCAAGGGCATCTTGGTAGCACAGTATTTGCTCTTTCCTATTAGGATAGACTTCGAGGTCAACCCCAGGGCTTCTTTAAAGCTGTTGAGCCCAAGTGACTGGTTGGTTCCCCTTCAGCTGACTTCTCAATTGCTTTAGAGTAGGTCCTGTGATGAAAATAATAGGAAACCAGAAAGAAGAATTGTCTGCCTCAAAATAAATATTTGATCACAAGTTGCAAACATCCCAGATTTGCACTAGATAACTGGGCTTAACATTTGAATATGAAACACTAGAATTTTTGAAGCATTCATGGAAAGCTAGATAGAAACCATCAGAACTGTGTCTCAGTCATTTGTAACCCTGAATGGAACTGTATTCTACTCCATATTTAGATCAAAAAGCAAACCATTTGACCTATGGAAAGCCTCAGTTCTTGCCATTGAGTTTAAAATCAGAATATCTTACAGCTGATGTGAAAATTCATGAGTCATTAAGAGATTGAAATCATCTCTTGCCAAAACTGTCTGTAGTTACCCTTTTTTCAGTTCTTGTCTTGGTTCATTATCTCTTCTGCTTTCCCTAGGCTGGCCCATTACTGTCAGCTCCGGGATGTCCAGACACTAGCCATGCTTTGCAGTGTGTTTGAAGCACAGTCCAGGCCACAGGGAATCCTGAACCCCTTTGGACTCTTTCCTAATCGCTCTTCTAATCTTGTGTCCCACAGCCGCTATGTAAGTGTATTGACTTCTTGGTTAGTGCTCATTTTGACTAAATGACGTGACCACTGGGGTGTGCCTTTACTGTCCCGATAATTTTTGTTGTTATCTTCCTTCCTGGCAGCCTAGCTTTACTTCCTCTGGCTCTTGCTCAAGTATGTCAGACCCAGGACTCAACACTGGTGGATGGAATATAGGTAGGCGTGTAAATGACCTAACCAGGACTGTATTTCCAGCATCATAAAGGACACGTGCAAAATTGTTAATACACAACCTTTATTTGGTTGAAATACTCATCATATGGAAAATGCAATCCATATCCAGAGAAAGAACTATGGAGTCTGAATGCAGATCGAAGCATACTGTTTTCATTGTTTTTGTTTTTTCTTTCTCATGGCTTTCCCCTTTTGTTCTGATTCTTCTTTCACAATATAATTAATGTGGAAATATGTTTAATATGATTGTACACGTATAGCCCATATCAGATTGCATGCTGTGTTGGGGAGGGGGAGAAAATTTAGAAGTCAAAATCTCATAAAAGCGAATGTTGAAAACTAAAAATTAATCTTAAAAAAAAAAAGAAATCCTCATCATACTGTTCATTGTACATTTCATTTTCTCCTAGAATTCATCTACCATAAAAGTCTTTTTAAAATAATGAAAACCATATTGCAGTGAGTCTATAGGCTTTAGGTATTTGTCTCTCTAAGTGAAGTTTCTCTACAGAGAGACTTCTTGGCAGCTGTTGGCCCTTGCTTTGTTTCCTTTTGTCTGCATCAGTCACATAAAAATGTGTAATAGGGGTCTTCTAGCCTTCAATCCAACAATCCTAAACCATGCCCTCCACTTACCTGCCTTCATCTACTGCTGCCTACTAACTCACCTGTAAACGCCCCTCTTCTGTAAATGAGTAGGTGTGTCTATATTCTTAATTGTAAGGTTGTCTTAATGATAAATGGGGAAACTGAGCCCAGGATGGGATAGTTCTTTAATGGTAGGTCTCTGACTTTCCCACACTGCAGGTCATGAATTAGACCCACTGTGTTAATGAGCCAGTTTTTAGATCATTTTCGCCCTTTGTCTTTTTGACTTTTCTAAAGTGGGTAGGGAAACAGAACATGCGTCTTCACCCTGGGGAGAATCCTCACCTGATGAATTGCGCTTTGGGAGTTTGACTTACAGTGACCCTCGTGAGCGGGAACGAGACCAGCATGACAAGAATAAAAGGTAGTCCCTCTCTCCGTTGAGATGTCTACTTTTCTCTGTATCCAAGGCCTTAAAACAATTGTACTCACTGTTGTCAGAAACATATGTTGCCGTTCCACCATCTGATAACTAAGTCCCGAGCACCTTAATATCGCGTCAAAGAAATAATCCTCTTGTTGCTGGAGATGGCTAGAGCCTGTGATCAAATTTTCACTTTTATGGAATCCCCAAATTTCCTAAAATCAGGGTCCTCACTCTCAGAGAGGAATGTTCAGCACCTTACTGTGGAGGGCTGGGTGGTGAGAGGTAGAAACAGTAGTCTTAGTGCAGCTAGGTGGTAGGGTAGATAGAGCACTGGCCCTGAAGTCAGGAGGACCTGAGTTCAAATCCGGCCTCAGGTCAAACACTTGACACGTACTAGCTGTGAGACCCTGGGCAAGTCACTTAACCCCAGTGGCCTTTAAAAAAAAAAAAGAAACAGTAGTCTTTGTTACATGGGGGTATTAAAGATTCTACTTGGCATGTTTTTCCTTAGAGAACAGAAAAAGAAATCACCATTTGTGGGACCTTATCAAATACCTGGGGTAGCTCAGAGCCTGCTCTTTCTCCATGTACCTGTCCTATAACTCAGGGAAGACATTGATTTATATTCAGAAGGCTCTTTGACCACTGTGGTTATATGATGCTTACTCTTTTAGTCCTTATTAAAAAAGGGGGGGGGGGCGGCAACCAACAGAAGAATGTATGAATTTTCTCCAGGATCCTTGACCCTGCCAATACTCAGCAATTTGATGATTTTAAGAAATGTTATGGAGAAATCCTTTATCGTTGGGGTCTGAGAGAGAAACGAGCTGAAGTCTTAAAGTTTGTGTCCTGCCCTCCTGACCCTCATAAGGGAATTGGTGAGTGCTGTGAATTTCAGTCTCATCCTCTTCATCATCTGACATGTTCCTCTAATTTAAATTGCTCAGTGCTTATAAGCTGAACTTTGACATTTTTAAAGTTTCTTCCCTGAGCTTATGAAAACGTGGAGGCAGTAGGCTTCTCTTCAATTTTATTAGAAGGTACTAGCAAGCAGAGATGTCTCTTATCGGTTCAAATACTGATTATAACTAGCAACATTTGTAAGAGCCTTGCTTATTTGATTACCTGACAGAAAGAGCTGGAAATAATTCAAAATACTGATCAGCTTTGTTATGTGAAGTGTTAATGGAGTCCTCAGGTAAACATATCCCACCTCTACAATGATCAGTTCCCTTTTCATTAGAACTAATCCCAGACGCAGCCAGTATAGTGGACTGTACCTCTCTATCTGGCCTTGAAGTCAAGGAACATCAAGGTTCAAATCCTGCTTCTGAAACACTCCAGGGAAATCACTTCAGCTGTCAGGGCTCCAGACCTGCATTGGTAGAGGGCACTTCCCCCTGAAAGTTCCCTACACCAGTGAAATCAAAGGTCTGAACCGCCAAGCAAACAAATGAGCAAAAATCTGGTGAAAAAAACTGATGTTGTTACTTCACTTCTTCTCTTATCTGAAACCATTTGTAGAGTTTGGTGTGTATTGCAGTCACTGCCGGAGTGAGGTTCGTGGAACCCAGTGTGCCATCTGCAAGGGATTCACATTTCAATGTGCCATCTGCCACGTGGCAGTGAGAGGCTCCTCCAACTTTTGCCTGACCTGTGGACATGGTGGGCACACAAGCCACATGATGGAATGGTTTCGCACCCAGGAGGTGTGTCCCACTGGGTGTGGGTGCCATTGCCTGCTTGAGAGTACATTTTGAAATCACAGGTTGTGGACAGTGTGTGGCAAAAGCCCAGGGATCACACTCCTAGCTGGGACTGGAATCTCTGCGCCTCCCCGGAAATGGTAGTCTCATTCACCAAACTCCTTTCTGACCTGGCTGCTTTTTCTGGGATTCCTTCCCAGCCTGTCTGCTGCTGGCAGTGGTCTCCACTCAAAGGAAGTTGAGTCAGACATAAAGCAGTGCATCATGTGTTCTCAGCTCAGGGGAGCCAGCACATTGGACGTTTTCTTGGAGAAGAGCACTGGCTTACAGGGCCAGGGCTTATCAGGGTTGATGTCCTTTCTGATGCCGAGCAGGACCAGAACAAAGAAAAGAGACCAAAGCCAGACCCAAAGGACCATCTTCTCAGCCTGCTGACTATAATTGTTCATTGAATTGAAAAGTGACTCTTTCCTGGCAGTGGCTTTGGAAACTTGATTGTGCTATTTAATGAGCTGATGGGCAGTGGCCTTTAAGCTATGACATTTAAATTATGAATATGTGATATACTTAAGGATTTTTAAGATGGTTTTTATTTTTGAGCTGCTATTTCTTGGCCAGTAAAATTCTGGTAATTGTGTAAGACAAAGAATTAAATAACATTTTAATGGAGCATGTACAATTTTCCTACTTGTTGTTAACTAAAGTTGCTATAAAAAGATCAAACTAAATTCTTAGGCTGTGTGAGAGAAAATGCCGGTTTGCTTCTGTGGGAATCTGACCTCAGAAAATAATTTCACTTAGTAAATGAAGATGGAAGAATGTTTCTAAGAGAAATACCCTATTTCTTCTCTAAATGAAAACGGCGATGATGTGATGACATCTGGAGCAGTTTTCTCCATCTTTCTATTGGTGTCATTTGTTTTGAACTTTATTTAAGGTGACATCCCAGGTGGATGTGATTAAGGTGCTGGCCTGTCCTCCTAAATGCTTTCTTCCCTTTCACCCTTCCTCATCCGTGACTCCACGTACTAGTTTTTTTTATACAGCCTAAGTGGGCCTGGGAAGGGAGGCCCTTACTTAGCAAATATTTCTGTTGAGAAAATTCACTTTTCAGTCAGTCAAGCAAAACCTGAAAGTTTACAGCTCCAAATAGATCTTGGTTGAATTAATATGAATACAATTCCATGGCTTGAAACATTTGTAAATGATACTCAAACATCTGTGACCATGCTTTGGACTAACTGTGCCTTAAAGAAACAAGCTCCAGTCTTTGTCACAGTTTGAAGACTGGCTTTTTTAACAGGACTCCAAACTTAGCCAAGTTGCTAGTGCACCTGCATCCTTCTAGACTTTTGGCCTCCCCACCAGGGAATGTAAAAAAGTTGGCAGAGCCAGGAGCGTTGGGGATGCCAAGAAGTCAAAAAGACCAGGAGTTCCTTTCAAATGTGCTTTTCTCTTGTCTGTGCAGTTTTATCATTGGCAGTAACAAATGAGAACCTCCGGTACCTGAACACACAGTGCAGTGGCTGTCTGAAATTTGCACAGAGGACGAAGGATCTGTCACATTTCCTAATGGAATCCCAGGTTGCACAGAGGAAAAAACACTTTCCCGCCTCTAGGTTGCTTAGTCTAATGTGAAAGTTTGTCTCTCTGTTCCTATCAAGAATCAAATGTATTTTTTGTTTATAAGTATGTTGTTATGTAAAAGTTCTTCCTTCTGAAGTTGTTCTTAAAAAAAAAACCCAAATCAAATTTTGTTGAAATCTTGTGTGTCTGTTACAATTGTGTGCTAAAGAATTTAAAGTTAAAAGAAGTAATTCTCTCTTCTGTCTCTTGCCTTTCAAAGTGGAAATTCCTTTTGGAATTTGCCACATTCCAAAGTCGAGATTCCTAACTTTGTAGAAATGTCCATATATTTAAAACTTCTCCCTTCAGTTATGCTGGATCGTTGAGTGCTTGTCATAGTGGTGCTGTCTCTCCTCCCCTCCCCTAACCTCCCTCTCTCTTTCAGAATATTAGGGCAGTCTTTTCACAAGGATATAAACAGTTTGGGGTTGAAAATTCTCATTGCCTGATCCCGAATGCCTGTTCTTCCCTTCGGTGATGGAGTGACACTTATTTTTGAGAATACAGTTAAACTGAGAGAACAAAAGAAGAAAGAAATAGGGCTTGAGGGGTCCCTACCTCTCCTGTAGAAAGGGCACCCCACATATGTTTTTGCTTTGGTGAAGTGTGATCAAGACAGTTGGGCCTAATTTGAC